GGAGAGAAAATAACAAAAATAATGAACAACCATATACCAGAGACATTTTGCGGGGGTAGAGTGGGGAATGGGATCAAAAATGGGGGGGTGGGGAGGGAAGTGCACGGAATTTTGGTGATGGCACATGGGTGACATGGTGATGGGAAACCCGCAGGGATTACAATTGAGATGGGGAAAAAAATGTACAAAATGATGTAAATATAAACTGTTATAAAATAAAAAAAATCTCAAAAAAAAAAAAGGCAGGAGACTATCAGATGCTTAATACATTTATTTCATCACTTTTGGACAGCAATCACATTGACCAATTTGATTAACCATGGTTATCAACAAAAAAAGCAGCACTCCATTTTCATTATTTAAAACACTGACAGCACTAATCCTTTCCCAATCTCCACAAGGATTTGAAAACAATAGGTTCCCCTCACCCCCTACAAAACTATTCTAACACTTTCTGAGAGCATCTCAAATTCACCACTGATGATTGACCCCACCAGAGAGTATAAGGTGTGTCCAGAAGTAGCTCTGCTTTACTTTGGGTTTTATGCAAAATACAGAACAGAAACTTCAATAATTAGTGTCTAAGTAAAAAGGCAGATTACAGCATAATTTTCCACCTGGGTAAATCCAAGAAATGGGACTGAAGATTGTACTGTTAATTTGCTGTTTCTGAATATGTAGCTAGGTAAATAGCAGAAGGGTAATTACATCCCTAAACCCTTTCCTGTTTAGTCTAAAGAACTGTGTCCTTCACTATTATTCATCAGTGCAAGCAACTATTTATAAAGTGGATGTCAAAAATTAAAATGTGGGTAAATAAGAGAAATGGAGCAGTCTAAAAGGATGCACAGCTCAGAACTGTCTTCCTATTCCTGAATCATTAAGGAAAGAGACATACTACATAAATGCATTTTCCAGGTACCTGAAATTCTACACTGAAATCATCAAAAACTTGAATTTGAACATTTTGGACAAAGGGCTTCTTAAAACGTGTCACCTTTCTGTACCTTCTACAAGCAAAAGCATGGATTGTCGTAAGGACAGTTTACTCATAAATGCAGTACTGTACACTAAACTGACTTTTCATAAATGTCCCTTTATTGTTGCATCACTTTGCCACCATGACTGTATTCCTTTTGTGATTTATTTCTTGCAGATAGTCTGTGCTCTGGGCAAGTACAACATTCCATCACAAGAGGCTAAGAATCAAGCGTTTACCCAGGCCACATGGGTCTTGTCCACTTGAAGTTACAGCCCCTAACAGTAACATTTTCAAGGGTAAAAGGCAAAAGAGGAGGCTGGGAAGACCAAATCATAATCATCAGTTAATCACATTCTTACTAGATGAGCACTGGGATGCACACATCCCACAAGCTTTCTTGAGTAACCTCTATCTTCAATGACAAGTGAATATCAGTAAGCAGATTAACAAAGATGTTACCACCTTACTAAAAAGTAAAAAAAAATAGGTGATTTTTTTTTTTTTTAGATAGGATACCTCTTTTTTCTTAACATTCTTTTTTTTATTTATTTGTGGATACAAGAACTGGAGTACAGTCCAGAGGTGTGGGGGTGGGGTTTAGAGGATTCAACAGAGACAAAGTGGGGAGCAGAATAGGCAGACAGACTGAAGGACACTGCTGAGGGGAGCAGTGGGAGAGACAGGAGAGGTCTGCTGCACCATGTGGAACACCTCCAAGGCTGGGGATCAAATTTGCACTGAAGCGGCTGCTGTTAGCAGCCCACTGCACCACCAGGGTGGGCCCAGGATGCCTCTTTATAACAGAGTTTCAGGATTAAATCTATATAAAAATTTTATTACAGTAATGTCTTGCTGAATATCTATGTTGAAAGTATTTAAGCTTTTACATTCCTCAAGAAAGTGACAGTTCTCAAGATCCAAACTGGGGATCTACCTACACTTAAAGAAATACTTTCAGAAATATGCCCTCACCCTCACCTGTAATCCATGTCCCCAGCTCTGTCAGTTAAAGAACTGTCTGCTTTGCAGGCCCATGTTTAATCCATCCAGATAATTTCTAAACTGGATATGACTTAAAATATAAGTCTTTTATTCATTGAGTTTTGATCCAACAGATTGAAACCAGTTTTAATAATCAAAACATCCAAGATTATAAGAAAACCACTCTAATGGTTAGAATATAAACTGATATAGCAACTTATAAATTCAATAATTTGGTAGCATCTATTTTAAAATCTTAGTATTTAATGAAATAGAAATTCTACTCTAGATAGATGAGTTATATAAAAAATAGCACGTGCTTAAAATTTTATGTGTATGTACACACACACACACATATATAGGTGGTAAGATCTTTGTTAATATGATTGTTGATACTTGTCATAGGAGATGGTAACTACTCAAGAAAATTTGGGACGTGTGCCCTGCCCACTGCTGGTAACTGACTATATATGCGTGTGTGTGTATACATAAGTAAATATATATATATACTTATATTTATTATTTATTTATATTTTTCTTTTATTTTATATATATAGATATATGTATATGTGCATGTATATAAATTTTTACCACAGTATTGTTTGTGATAGAGAAAAAACAGAGGACAAATTTCCATAAGTAAATAATTAAATGAATTATTTTAAGCCAGATGTTGAAATATCATACAGTCATTAAAAAGAATAAAACTGACCTGAAAAGATGATGAGTTGTGACAGTAATTGGAAATTACAATTAACAGAACATATGACCATGAATACATATATACATGCATACACACACACACACACAGGTGTGTATACATAAAGAGAATGCATGCATATACTTCATATGTGTGTATAGTTACATACTCACATAGAAAGAATGAGCAATTTCAGTGCTCCCTACTGACTTCAAGATAAAGTCTTCAAATTCTGGTTTTGTCTTTGCTATCCAGTGGTCTGCTCTTCCTCCCCACAGCTTTCCACAAAACCTGCCTGGAAATTGACATTCCAGGTGATTTCCTGCCTCTCCACCTTTGCACATTTTACTCTCTGGCTAAACTCAGATATCCTTCCAGAACAGATTCAGAAGCTACTTCTCTTATGAAATCTTTTTTTTTTTTCACTTACCTTTTTCATTGATCACATATAACATATAATAAAATGCACAGATATTAAGAGTAGTCTGTTGAGTTTTGACAACTGCATACACCCCAACCAATATGCAGAGCTTCACCATCACCCTAGAATTCCTTCCAATCTCTTTCTCTACCACAAATAGCTGTCAATCTAGTATTTTTCCTCTACAGATTAGCCTTGTATTTTTTAACATAATAAAAATGGAATCAAAAGTATATGATCTTTTCTGTCTGCCTTCTTTCACTTAGAAAGACCTTTCTGAGACTGATTTATGATGTTACATATATAAGTAGTTCATTCCACTTAATTGAGTAGTAGCCATTTTATGAATGTAACACAATTTAGAAACATAAGCCACATAAATTGGACATTTAAATTTGTGTGTGTGAAGGATGGGGGACTGTTTTTATGAAGCTGTCTTTATTCCTACCTGTCCTTCCCTTTCCCATGCTACACAGAATTACAATTTATAGCAGATGGGTTTCTCCCTTTCCCACCTTAACTCTAAGCCTATTTGTAATAATAAGATCTTATTTTTCTTGGGCACTTACATGTGACTGAAACTGTGCTAAGTGCTTGACTATAATCAGTTCATCTAATCATGGCAACATCTCCATGCAGTAGACAAACACACCCACTGACAACGGGAAACTGAGACCTGCAGAGTTCATGTTTCTTTGTTAAGTAACCCATTTAGTGAGAAGTAGAATCAAGGTCTAGATCTATCTGATATCTTTACTACAAATCTCAGCAACTATTCCATAAAAATATACAGGTTAAGTAGTAGGCTCTCACTTTGGAAAATTTAAATTTAGTACTTTCAAAGGAAATTCAGAACTCATCAACTACCAACAGTTAGCCCAAGAAAATACAATTCATTTGTCAGTGATAAACTCAGACAACTATGCCTGTGCAAGATTTCATATACCCTCTTATTTCAAAATAGCCATTCTATTTTGTTCCCAATTGCATGAGTCAGCAATCTTGGAGAGCTTGGCAGGACAGTTCTTGCTTGAGGTTTCTCATAAGGCTGCAGTCTTATGTCTGCTACACTACCGAGACACAAGAGTCCTCCTGTGCTGGAACTTTATGATGGTTTATTTGTGCAGCTGGCATCAGGTGCTAACTATCAACAAGACTTGGGCTGGGGCTATCAGTCCTGGCCTAAACATGTGCCTCTCCAGCACAACCATTTCAGACTCTTCCCTGGCAGTTCATATCATTAAGAGTGAATATCTCAGGAGAACCTGGCAGAAGTTTCCCAACCTCACAAGTCACAGAGCATCCCTCCCGCCATGCAGTGTGGGCTGCAATGCCAATTCATACATGAACAGCATAGCAAAGTTACACTGTAGGAAAGCTTGTAGAATGTGAGATAGTGTTGCAGTCAGTTCTGGAAAACAATAGAATCCATCACAGCCATCTCCTTCAGATTGGTGAACTGAAGAGAATGTCATGTGGGCCACTGATGGGAAGGACCTTCAAGTTGGAAAATTAGTCATTGAGTTCAATAAAATCCTCATTCACTGAATATCAAAAGAAGGTGGGCTTTACTGGTAAAACTAAATGGGCCAATTTGTCTTGTTTGTTTCACTTGAAAGCTATTTTAAACAATGCAGGATCAAGGATTGTGTGTTTTCACACAGTAAATGTGTAACAGCCAACCACATAACACCAAATGGGCCTTAGATCATCAGCTATCCTGTCCTGCAAATTACATCATCAAGGGGAACAAAAGTCTGTCAACATCTCAAAATGCAGTGATGCCTGTGGGTATTACACAACAATCTAATCCAAGCCTTAATCACCAAACAGTAGAAATTGGAAATTCAGAAGTTCTTTTATAAGGTAACTGTCAGGATGAGGCTTAGATGACATGAGTACCCCTCAAACCTTACCTAGCTTTTCGAATGTGCAGCTGAGGGTAATGACTGTGCCTGTGACATATATGCACAGCAAAGTCCTCATCATATTTCAGGCTCGGAACAGTCCCCACTTGATCAAACACAGTGATGAGAGTTGAGCCTAAGTCACAGAGACAAAGAAAATAAACTCATTTGGTTATAGTAAAACTTTAGAACTTCAGAACAAAAAGTAGCTTCCCTTCTAAACTGTGATTTGTTATTATCAAATATGTACATTACATATTTAGTACCTAGAGACCATTGTTATTTCCCAAAGGTATCATTTTAAGAATGAATTTCCTATATTAACTACTAGGGACACCATAGTTGAATAGGTCTTACCTAAGCTCATGTAGGATGGCACTATGAGAAAGATGAAGTGCAATTCTGGCACTGCCCGAAACACAGTCCTGGTGAGAGAAAGACAAGGGGTTTGGATATTAATTTTAAAAGCACTTCCATTAGCTGGCACCTTATTGACACAAATTCTGTCACTAAAAAAAAATGGAAATGGTCATGAATTCACATGGGTTTCTCTGCTCCCTGTTTGCAAAGGCAAGAATATATTCAAGTCCATTTCTTTATCTTCTCCACTTTTCCTTGGATTCCACACAGCCCTTTTGCTATCTGTCCCATGGAAGTAAAGAGAATAAAGGATGCCATATTCATGCAAAACACCAGATTTCTGCTAATATTAACCTTTGACCTGGCATCTGGATGGTCTGGTATGACATTACAAAGTGACTGAAAGCTGAGTCCACCACTCCCAAATGTCTGTGCAGGCTGTCAAAGCACATTGCCATCCATCAGTAGACCCTATGATCATATTTCAATGTGCCATATAATTCAGGATGTTTCTGCAGCCTATGTTAATAAACATTTCTAAAGATAAGACTGAGGAAAACTATTTTTTAAAACATCCGTGCCAATGACACTTTACTCTTCTCCTACTTCCCCTATCAAGTCCATTTATTTAAATGTCTATACTAGCTGGTAAATAAAGGAAATTAAAGATTTTTGCTGAATTGAGCAAGGAGTCCAATAAATAGTTTTCTTCTAGGATTATTACTGCAACTCAACATAACAGCTTAACAGAGCCATATATTACAAGCAAATTAAATACCTCAGAGAATTTCCTGTCCTTTAAAATGTCTCCAAACTCTCTACATGGTCTCTTTCATATCACTTTTCATTTAACACGTCTATCTGTGGTGCCACAGTTAGCCCTCTATGTCACAACATGCAAGTCCCAGTCACTCACCGAATGATCTCTTTGCAGCAGCCAACAGAATACTCATCTACAGCAACAAAAAGATGCATGAACAATGTGTTCAGAGGCTGCAGGAGGAAAAACAAAAAGAACAGAAAGGCTGAGTCAGCATTTGGGTTATGTCTGAAAGGGATGGGAGGGTTTCAGAGCAGCCTCAGACACAGAGCTGCCTGGTGTTTAAGGATGACATTTTATGTTTAAAGTAATGAGACACTCAGGCAGCATTTGAGCCATCTCACTGACCCCATTCGGTGCCTTCTGTCCTTCTAGTTCAGAATTATTGTAGGAAACAAGGATCTTAAATGAATCCAGCTCACTCAGCCCTCCATTCTACCCTGGAGATGGGGCTGTGGGCAGGGAAGCCCCTGCAGGGGAGTGAAATCGATTATTAACTCAGTAGTGCTGTCCTCAGGGTGTCCATGCCAAGTGAAAGACAATCACACTTTTCCCGGGGCTCTTGAGTTAGCAGCTGCTGCTCTATTCAAGTGACACGAGGGGAAGATTTTCTTATGAATTTGAAGGATGGAAGGCAGATGCCACATTATGAATCCAATGGCTTGTTTTGTTCAGCATTCCCAGAGTCAGAATCAAATATTACTCTTGGGACACAGAAAATCTGGGAGCTGAAAACTCTAAGTAACGAGACTCTAACGAGTTTGAGGCGAAATTTTTGGAGTTCTGAAAGCATTGTCCCATAGCTTCCAAAGAGTTTTTAAGGTGTCTAAAACATTCTATATATCCACATATCTATCTGCTCAGTACCCCTGTGACTACAAGTAAACTTTCCAATTCTGGAAGTAATGCAAATATGAGGCAGTTAAGTGGTGAGGTTAGGGCTTGCACCTATATCACTCCATTGTTCAATGGAGTGAAATCTGTGTTTCTTGTTTCAGAGCAATTCTATAGATGGCCTTGGGTTACCATCAACACATTCATGTTGGATGATGTGTGCTTAAGGAATAATCCAAAGAAATACCACTCATGAAGTGATGAGAAAATGAGCATGAGTTTGGTTCATGTACTTGAAAAGTCCCAAAACAGAAATAGAAATTCCAAGTCTTATTAACGTTGGAACATCCCCTGGCTTGACAATGTTAGGGGTGGAATAATGAACTAATCTCTGATTCTTTAGGGCTAGATGAAAAAATTATCATCAGACATATTTGTAGGAGAAAAAAAAAGTTATTTATTTCCTTATTTTTAAGCATTCTTGCTATTTTTCACAATATAGGATTTCTCCCTCAGGTGTGGTCACCAAAGTTTCCCAACATCTATGTGCCCACTGTCCTCCACCATACTCCACCATTCTCTCCTTCTCCCCTGCTCTATATTCTCTCCTTCCCCCTCTCTTTCTGCTCCTGACTGTCTCAGAGCTATTGTCTGCTTTCATGGGTCAGTCTGTAGCTTGCCTTTCTCTGATCCTTTGTTTGGTTTCTCTAGATTCCACATATAAGTGAAACCATTATTATCTTTCTTTTTCTGGCTCACTTCACTTAGAATAATCCCTTCCAGCTCCAGTCATTTTGCTGTAAATGGCATGAGCTTATCTTTTTGATGGCTAAGTAATATTCCATTATGCATATCTACCACATCTTCTTGAATCACTCATCCTTTCTGGGACATTTACATTTCCTATTGTAACTAGTGCTGCTATAAATACAGTGGTGCAGGTTTCCTTTTGAATTAGTGTAATTGTGCTCTAAGAGTGGATTGCTAGACTATATGGTATATCCACTTCTAGTCTTTTGAGGAATCTCTACACTTCTTTCTACAGGTGCTAGAAAGAATAACAATAGTCTACATTTCTACCAACAGTGAATAGGCCTCCTTTTTCTCCACATTGTCACCCGCATTTGTTGTTTCTTTTGTTTGTTGGTCTTTTAGATATGGGCTATTTTCACAAGTGTGAGGTGGTATCTCATTGTGGTGTTGATTTACATTTCCCTGATGGTAAGTGAGGATGAACATTTTTTCATATGCTATTGACCATTTGCATGTCTTCATTGGAGAATACATTTAGCCTGTTTAGCTCTTCTATCCCTTTTTGGATTAAGTTGTTTTCTTTTTGGTGTATAAGCTTTTTCTAGAGCTTCAATATCAATCCTTGGATGGATAGTGTGTAAATATTTTTTCCCACTCAGTAGGGTATCTTTTTGTTTTGGTCCATTGTCTCTTTCACTGTACAAAAACTTTTTATTTTTATATATCCTAGTTGTTTATATTTTCTTTGGTTTGCCTTGATGCTAGAAATGAGTCCTCAAAGATGTTTCTGAGGTTTATGTCATGGAGTGTTGTATGGTTTTTTTAAATGCATGTTAGGGTTTCACGAAAGACCAAATTTAGTAAAATACATACAGATAATGTAGATAACTTTAAATTCTAAAGTAAATAGCACAAACCAAGGGTTTCTGTGCTAAGGGAACTGGGACATCCAGGAGAGAAGGAGTTTCACATTTTGAGAAGGGGATTTCTCATGATTTCATAGGACAAAACCTTGCCTCTAAAAGTTTTCTCTGACTTTAGACAGTTTCCCCCAATATCTGCGGAGTCTTGATCAAACTTAATTTCACATACCAAGATGACTCACTGGAAAAGGCCTATCCCATATTTTTTTAAAATATAATCATTACATCATCCTTCATTTTTGTACAATGTATGATTTCCCTGTGGAATTCCCACCACCCATTCCCCCATGCATCATCACCATAGATACTTGTGTTCTTCCCACCCCATCCTGATCCTACTTCCTCCTTCTTCCCTACAGAGTGTCTCTGATTTATAATTGCCTGATTTTGATTTTTACTTTATCATAGTTACTTTTTTTTTTCCTGATTCCTTGTTTTCTCTATATTTCTCCTACAAATGAGACCATTCAATTTTTTTTTTCTTTCTGGCTTACTTCACTAAACATAATCCTTCCAGCTCCATCCATGTTACTGCAAAGGGCATGAGTTTATCCTTTTTGATTGCTGAGTAATATTCCATTGTACATGTGCACCACATCTTCTTGATCCAGTCATCTATTTTTGGGCATCTGGATTGCTTCCATTACTTATCTATTGTAAATTATGCTGCAATAAACACAGGGGTGCAGACTCCCTTTTGAATTAATGTTTTTGTGTCCTTCGGGTAGACCCCTAGGAGTAGAATTGTAGAATCATATAGAAGCTTCATTTTTAGTAGTTTGAGGAACCTCCACACAGTTTTCCATAGTGGAGGGATCAGTTTGCATTCCCATCAGCAGTGCAGGAGAGTTCCTTTTTCTTCACATCTTCGCCAACATTTGTTGTTAGTTTTTTAAAATGTGCCATTATCACTGGTGTAAGGTGATTTTGATTTGCATTTCCCTGATTACAAGTGATATTGAACATTTTTTCATATGCCTGCTGGCCATTTGCATTTCTTCTTTGAAGTGTCTAGAGATGCCAGGTCTGTGTGGCTGCATTCAGCCAGCACCAGGCTCAGCACCAGCCCAGCTTCCACGTCAAGACAAAGGAAAAAATTTCTGTGACCACCCGGACACATCATAGGAACTGTGAAGTCAGCAATTTACTCTGGATATACTGACAAAAACATTTCTAAATATTTTGGGGGAAGTACAATCATAAAATTACTACAGAAACAACGATGACACCAACATAAGCATCTCTATGCAGTAACTTACTAATGAATTGCACAGTAATTTTATATAACAGCTACTTTACATTCTGACAGGAATAGCTCTATGTTTATTATTTGGCTGCTTCTAAATTCTGTCCTCCAGGTTTCCACAGCTATGTTAAAGCAGAACATTCTTGTGAAACCTCTTATAAGTTGAAATGGCACAAAGCAAAGAAGCAATTACCACTCCTTGATATGGAAAAATATTCTGAGCATTCTAAGGTCCAAAAAAATTAACTCATACTAAGTAACACATAAAACCAAAACTAACGTTCACAGATAGTAAAAGCAGGGATGAGAGGGAAAATATACAGTCTGTATAAAAGAGTTCCCTGGGAAAATGTTGGCTGGGGCCACTCTTGCAATTTGGGGTAGTGCTACCTCTAGAACAAATTCTACAAAATCACTCTGAATGATATTTGCATTTTGCCCTTTGTTATAAAATGAAGATTTTTTTGTAATTTTTTTTCTTTCTTTTTGATGTTGAAGACAGGTACTAATGGGAGGTCTACCAAAAAAGCCAGCTGGCATAGAACAAACTTTCAAAAAGTAAAATATAACTGGTTTGTAATTCAAGATTCATGCTTTAGCTTTAAAATAAAAATTACTTCAGTTACAAACACCTTAGGGAGAGGTAATACATAAGGCTAAATTTATTGTTTTTTAAAAGATTTTATTTCTTCATTTTTTCATAGAAGAACTGGGGTGTAGGCGAGAGGTATGGGGGTGAAAGGACTCACCAGAAACATAGTAAAGAGCAGAACAGGCAGACTATTGGTATACACTGCAAAGGAGAGCAGCAGGCGAGACAAGAAAGGACGCTGCACCATGTGGGTCAGCTCCCTGGCTGGGGATTAGACTCAGAACACCCCAGAGGACTACCACATAGGGCCTTGGCTGCGGCAGCACTGAGGCATAACCCCTAGCCACTAGGGAGGAGGCCCTAAGACTCAAGGCTTTCTACCAATGCTGTCCAAAAGAAAAGTAACTCAAGCCACAAATACAAATCATCCATATAATTTTAAGCTTTCTTCTAGATATATAAGAAAGATCAACAGATGAAATTAATTTATTTTATTTAACCTAATAGACTCAAATTATTATTCTTTTCCAAGTAATCAATACAAAAATTAATGAGAGAATCTACAGCCCTTTTTCTACTGAGTACCTGAAATCTGGTATGTACTTTATGTTTACAGCATATCTCAGTTCTAACTAGTCACATTTAAGCGCGCAGTTCCATGTGACTGGTAGCCACTATACTGAACAGCCCAGGGCCACACTGTTTATGGAAGGTAGTTTAAATATCTTAAAAGGACAAAGGGGGAAAGAATTTATGAATAATGGTGTTAATCTATAATTTTTCAAAACGTAAAATCATGACCCTAACTCAAATACAAAATCAACATTTATTCAGTCCATCAATTAATGAGAAACCAGTAAATAATAAAAACAATTCATCACATTTGGAGAGCTGGACACTCAGGTTATTTAATGAGGGAATGTTAGAATAAAAGGAATAATGTTAGAATAAGATTGCTGGGTATGACACAAAACAGCTAATGTTCTCCTGGCCATGAACCATAACTGTTGAAGCTATCTCATTCACTAGAAAGAAATTACTTACATCTCAAATAAATACAAATCTACAAGTGAATCATGGTTCTTACAGAATTATGAACAGCCCTGTCAATATAAAATCAATCAAAGGTACCACTAGCATTAGACAAAAAGAATTCTTTTGGCCTATTTCCAGTTCCAGATAACTTTTTTGGACAAAGACAATGGGGTAGAGAACAGAAGACAGATACCACTTGGCTGAATAAAAATGAATAATGTGCTCATACACGTGTGTGTGTATGTGTGTGTGCATGCATATGTGGGGGGGTAAACTCCCTCATGCATTCAACTTTGGGAACACTGCTAAAATCCAATGACAAGAAAGCATACCACCCAAAGCCTCAATACCAATCACAGCCCTCTCGATTTCTGCAGAAACTGGAGTCAGATGCTGGCCTGGCTATGGTAGGCCAAGGGCAGGAAAAGCTCAGACATGGCACCAAGGTCCCACCTCCCTGAGAATTGATGGTTGGCTCCCATTAGTCAACAGCTGTTGTCATGTGTCCTCAGCTAGACGACATTGTAGTATGAATTTGAAGCTCTGCTGTCATTGTGGAGGCAAATATGTGATGGCAGGGACCCTCCCTGCATCTCAATACTTGGAGCACAGTGTGGAAAGCTGGAAAGCACATGTGACATTCCTAGTAATTCCTGCCTCTCAGTTCTGACAAGCAGAAAGACTTGGGTCTTACCAACAGTTGGCTTCTCTGACTTTCCCCTGTCCTCCCTACACTTTCTATATCCTCTGGATTCCTTCTCTTGGCTCCCCTGTTCCTCCCACCAGCTAACTTCATTTCTAAGTGCCATGATGTCATAAACTTTACGTTGTACTGCTCAGTCTAACAACTGAAAAGACATATACACACAAGACAATGGTGGTGATTGCTTACTGTGCATGGGATTTCACTGTCAAGCTCTTGCATCAGAGACACCCAAGTGTCCTGCTTGGCAACATTCCAGTTGGGATAGTCCATGAAGGTGGCCTGGGCCATGATCTCCTCCCTGTCATTATGGAGGGTCACAGCAAGGTTTGCCTTTTCCCTGTGGAAACAATTAAAATGCACATATGAATGAAATTATGAAAAGTGGGAAGAGAATATATCACTTTCTCTCTCCTTTGGCTACTGGAGCTCAGTAATCTCTGCATAAAGCATGATAACCTCTGGAAGAGGTGGGGCCAATGTGGTAACAACTCTGGCAGTAACCATTTAGGATTTCTGGTGCTATCAATTAAATTTGTATCGAAAAATACATTTCAATAGAAGGTGTTCTATTTATGATTTTAATAATCTAATATCCTTCCCTTAGAGATTGGCTGGGAAAATCATTTGGGTGCTGCAAAATTTTTCTTCTCCTCTCCATGTTGCAAATTCCACTGTTTTTGCCATACTCAGAAAGCTAGGGGAGGAACAGAAACTACTGTACCTATGTCCCTGGGATGGAGGGGGTGCTCAGTCATGGGCACTGGCAGTGCTAAAATCATAAAAGTACTGGGCAAATGGCAATAAGCAGCTCATCTATGCTCAACAATGCTAAGAGTTTAGCTTCATCCTGTCAGCATTCTTAATCAATTTCCACAATCCCTGAATCCATGCCCTTGCTTAATTAAATCTTATCACCCGATCCAGCTGCAGAAATGGAGACCCTGAGGGGTCTTGCTTAAGCTAAAGCAACCCAGTGAGTTAATAAAAACAGGGAAGAAAGGTTTTCCAACTCTCTCTCTGGTGTCTATCTCAAAGAGCTATCTTGATGGTCCCTCCTAATTGCTAGCCTGTCACGTGGCCATATGACAGCGAGAGCTATGACTTAGAGTAAGCACATAGTCTACTACACAGAGAACTATTTGTATATATTTAAATTGAGATGCAGCTTCCACTTTCTTGGCTGACAATCTTAAATTGAAAAAAAAGATTTAAATGTTCCTTCAAAGAACAAAAAAGGCTGAAGTTACCCATAATCCTATTAAGGGACCAGGAAAGAAGATGGTATCTAACTGAAGAAAAAGAGACAATGGGGAGAATAGAAAGCATGTTATATGTGCTTTCCAGCTGTATTTTTGTTGCAAAGGCAATGTATCACCAGCAAAAACTGAAAAATACTCACAAGCAAGAATAAATTCCTAAAAATTTGAAAAGTTACTACCACCTCCCATTGACAACAATGCTTGTCAATATTTCGGTATCTCTCTTTCAAAACTTATCTTTTGTTGGGGGAGCTATACACTGAAATGTACTGTGTCTTTCTAAATACAATCAAACACCCCATACTATTTGTAACCTGCTTTTTCTCACTTGACAGCATATCATTTTACTACAGCTGATCACCAAAAAAGAATCCCTCAACACATGCACTATATGTACTTATTTTTTTTCTTTATCAGTTTACTTTTGACTTAAGTTTTGTTATAGGAAATTAACATCACTGTATCATGAACAGAAAAAAATCCCTCACTATAAATAAAAAGTAACTCTAAAAATAAAGCTGCAACATTTGAAACAAAAAGTGTTCCTTATTGTTATCAAATCAAATCACCTTGGGAACTACCAAAGTTAAGAAAATTTGGGGAGAATTCTATGCCAGGGATGCCCATCTCAGCACCTACAGGCACCGTACCCTTTCATATCGTTCAGTCACGAGGGTCTCCACCCAGGGTGTACTTGGGCCCAGGCAAGCACCACAGCATACTGCCCTGGGGGTGTGAATACGGTATTCATTAGCAGGAGTAGCAGCACCCCACAACTTCTCCTGGCTGAATCACTGAAGCCCCTGGCCTCTCATTCCACCCTTGCAGGGACTATTTCCAGCTCCTGTTCCTATGGGCTCTTCTGTCCCAGGCTTCATGCTGAGATCCTTACTCTAATTCAGGTGAGAAAGTTCTGGAACATGGGGCAACTCGCTACGAGGACACCCACCAACATCAGTGATGATAACAATGGTGGTGGTAGAGAAAGTAATCAAGGCAAGAGCAAGGACTGGGCAGCCGCCATCCCCTCAGAGAAGCATGGGAAACGTATTCCTGGAATCCACATTTAAACTGAAATTCCATTTACCCATGGGAACCTAGGATGGTTGTTGGGATCTATAGTATAATTAGCATAGTACCGTACTGTACAGACGTTACTGATTAAATAGACTTTTGTGGGCTGTCTGGGAACCAGCAGCACACAATTTTGTTTCATTGGAAAAATATAGGATAATATCCAAATGACTGAGTGGAAGAAGTAACTTTCATAGCATTATCCTTTTGTTATATAATTTCCTCTTCTTATTATCTACTAGCCATTACATCCTTTATAGGACAGCTAAAAATCATCATAGGTGCAAAAACGTTTTCAAAAGCTGGATTTTAAATTATTTGCTGTAATAAACCAAATTCAAGCCAAAGAAGCCCTATTCAATATATATACTTGAGTACACACATATATATTTAAATATAATATCCAATCAGACAGAGAAAAAAACACCATATGATTTCCCTCATAGAGAGTATACAGAATAATCAACAATTGAAAGAACTAAATAAAACAAAAATAAACATTTAGGCAATAAAACCAAATTAGCAGTTGCCAGAAGGAAGGGGTGAAATTAGTCAGGTAAAAGAGATCAACTATATGGTAAAGGACAGAAATTAACTTTTATGGGTGAACTTATGTAGCATATACAGATGTTGCCTTAATTTAATGATCACACCTGAAGCGTATGTCCTACAACATTATATAAGGTTATAATGCAATGTTGCTTCAATTAAAAAATCATTAAAAAATATATTTATGTATAATATATAATTTCTCTGTAAATGCATTTTAAAATACATATATACATACTTCACACAGAACATGTTCAAGCTAAAAGATGTTATCCCGCAACAGAAAACAGTCCTTTTCATTAAAGTAATGTCTCATTTATTCAATTGGTTTAGGGAATTTTCCAAGTACAGCCAAAACTCATTTTACTTAACTATACTTGATGGAAATCTTGGTGAAACAGTGTCCCCATTTTCTGCTTTGTTAAGCAGCATGAATGAAACAAAACTCAGAGTTCCCTTTGTGTCCACTGCACACTGAACGCAGCTGGCTGTGGTTTGCAGCACTACACACACCACACTGTGACATCTGGAAGTGACTAAATCTTTTATTACTTCTTTTCCTACTCAGCTGCTGTGCCTGAACTGCTCATTTTCTCTCCTAAAATTCATCAGGGTTTTTAGGTAACATCAGTTTTATTTACTCCTGCATCTATGCAACTGAGGGAGACATCAATAAAATGAAATTGAATAAATTAGAAGCTACCAATTTTAGAAATGTCTGTATATCAAAACTGGCCTTCCCGGGGGGACAGGAATTACCTAATAAGAAAAATGAAAAGACAAGAAGGGCTTTCAACTGCAAGTTGTTTTGGCAGATCCAGGATATTAAAGGAAATGTAAATTTACTTTTACTTCTGGAAATACATTGGCTTCTGAGGCAGGTTGCAGTGTTTTGAGTGATCCTTTTCAAATTTTCAAAATTTTTGGCATGAAGTTTTTTATACAATTCTCTTATCTCTTCAAAATCCAAACATCCCTGGAAACCAGGGCTAAACTTTACCTGAGAGTTTAGTTGGCAGCAAAATTGGACAGAACGTGATACGAGGTTATTCAAAAGTTATTCCAATTAGAGAACATTTCTACACTTTTACCACAGAAGTATTATAGGGACCCATCCCAATCCTTATTGATGAAGTATTTGGTAAATGCACAGAATTAACTTTTAAAATACTATATTCTGAAACACAACAAGTCCCAAGCAACTATGAATCTCAATAGCCTTTTATCACCTGCTTAAGCAGCAACACCTGTATTGATGCCCTTTTCGTACTATTAAAAAAAAAAGATGTATTTATTTATGTCTACAAGAACTGGGGTACAGGTCAGAGGTGCTGGGGGGTGAGAGGATTCATCAGAAACAGAGTGGGGAGCAGAACAGGCAGATCAACTGAAATACACTGCTGAGGAGAGCAGCAGGTGGGTCAGGAGAGGTCTGCCATGTGGGTCACCTCCCTGGCTGGACATCAAACTCATGCTGCAGTGCCTGTGAAGAGCTTTAACCCAGTGAGCACCAGGGAGGACCCTCATACTATTTTTCATGATAGTCATTTGTCTGGTCAAAAGTGTATCCTAATTTTACCCTTTTTAAAGAGCCTACTTTAGAGTTTAGTAATCTTCTACTAAATGTCTATATTTCATTAATAGATATAATTTGTTCTCAACCCTTATTTACGGTTTTGGATTTTTTTGTTTATTTTTGAGTTGATTTCACTGCTCTTTTTCTAACTTAGAGGTAAAATCAGAAAATGAATTCTAGGCCTGTCATCTCATTTACTGTGAGCAATTAAGGTTGTAAGTTTCATCGAAGGTTGGCTGTTTTGTTCATCAATTTCTGCATATAAAACAAATCCAAATCTCGTCACTGCCTTTTCAAGTTTTATTTGTTCATGATTCTATAGGTTAGGATTTCATTCAGGAAATATCAGAGGCATGTTCTGTAGTAAACCTCAAAGACAGATATTTTACTCACAGGTCTTGCACTTCAAAGTCAGGGTGATTCAAATGATCAGTAGTTATTGAACAACTAACCTAGGACCTTGCTTCTTGCTATGAGCTGGGATCCCCAAATTCTCCCCATGATATGGTCTCTCCATTTGGTTTCTCCATGTTTTCTCTCTAGCAAAGTAACCAGACTTTTTACCTGGTGGCACAAGATTCCCAGTGGCCTAAAATTGATGGCTGGGCCCTCCCTGGTGGCACAGCGGGTTAAAGCACTGCACTGAGAAACTAAAGCCACTTCCGCATGAGTTCGATCCCCGCCTGCCCCGGAGGTGACCATATGGCGTGGCAGACCTCTCCTGACCTGCCCGCTGCTCCCCTCAGCAGTGTACTTCGTCGATCTGCCTGTCCTGCTCCCCATTCTGTCTCTGGTGAATCCTGTCACCCTCTGCATCTCTGGCCTGTACCCCAGTATGAATAAATAAATAAATCTTAAAAAAAAAAAATTGATGGCTGTTGGTCATGGCTGTGACTGGGTGAGGCAGGAAAGGCACCTAAGTTTCGAAATTGGAAATGGCGCTCCCTTCTCATGCTGGTGCAGCACTGGTACCTGGGAGGACGAGGTACCAAATATCTCACATGCCTCACCCTATGTGTTCATATGTACATACATATAAATACAGTTAACATGTGAATTAAAATATCTTTATTGAAGCCAATGTATTACAATTTTCATTTTTCGTTATTGACCCATGATTTTTTTAATTTCATTTGAAATATTTAAACATGATTGTTTAATAATTATCTTTTCACTGCTGAGTACTAACTCCATTGCTTAATGGTCAAAGAATGTGTTATATATGATTCTAAACATTTCGTCTTGATGACCTAAGAGGAAGTCAATTATACATATTTCCATGTATACTTGAAAATTTATCTATTCTAATACTGGGCACAATATTGCACACACTTATCCATTAGATCAAGTTACTAAATTGTGTTCATGTTGAAATCTTTTATATTTAAATTTTGGTTTGCAAAATCTCCCATTCAAGAGAAGCTAATGAAAATCTCCAATTACACATGTCTATTTTATCTTTGTTTTGTGTTGTGTTTTGTTATTTAATACCAATATACTTATTTTCACTATGTCTTATTTGGTTCTCTGATATTTCTCTTATAAGTGAAACCATTTGATATTTTTCTTTTTCCTTCTGATGTATTTTTATTGAGCTCCACCCATGTTGTTGCAAATGGTATAATTTGTCTTTTGAACCATTTCTTTAATATGATTTTGGTAGCCATACTTTTTCCTCCCAATACTTTGACTTTCTTTTGACTTTTTTTTTTAATCTTCCCTTAATATCTCAGGTATGTCTCATATACAAAACATGGTTATTTTTTGTATTTTTCAATTGTCAGTCAATCTGTCCAATTCCTTTTAATTGAATAATTTTTTCCAGGTAATTACTGATATAACTGAACATTTTTTTCGTCTTCCTACTATGGGATTTTAATAAATACTGTTTTCTTCTTCATTTCTTGCTTTTAAGATTGAGGGTTTGTTTTAATTTCTTCTTCCATTTTCTCCTCTCAAGAGCATAAGTTATAATCTCTGTGCCTATCCTTATAATGATCCTAGTCAATTACCATATTTTTTAAAAGATTTATTTACTTATTCATACAGAACTGGGGTACAAGCCAGAAGTACAGGGGTGGCGAGAGGCTTCACCTGAGACAGAGTAGGGAGCAGAACAGGCAGACTGATGAAGTACACTGCTGAGGGGAGCAGTGGGAGGGTCAAGAGAGTTCTGCCACACCATGTGGATCACCTCTGGAGTGGGAATAGAACTAATGCTGAAGAGGCTTTAGCTTCTTAGTGCTGGGCTTTAACCCTCTGTGCCACCAGGGAGGGCCCTAACTTATTATTTTTTTAATATTTATTTATTGATGCATACAAGAACTGGGTATGGACCAGAGCAAAAAGGCAAATTACTTGTAAAGGTAAAAGAATTTCCTCAGAACATATTCTAGGCAGAAGTCCTTACTTAAGTACTGTTTATATATTATAACTTACTATTTATAATTAATATCTATATTAAAGTGGTTTTTATTGTTTTATGTTAGATTTTTCTTAGATTGACCACTTTGCTCATATTTTTGTTTATTTTCCTTTTTGTATCTTGACCTTTCTAGCTGAGTCTTTCTTCTGCCTAGAATATGTTCTGAGGAAATTCTTTTACCTTTACAAGTAATTTGCCTTTTTGCTCTGGTTATTTTTCAGATCTTCTCTTTAACTTGGTGTTTTGCTGTTTTATTGTAATGTACTTAGTTACAGATTTTTCCGTGTATTTATCCTGTTTTGGATTTGTTGGGTTTTCTGGATCTAAGAGATAATTTTAGAATGTCCTGCATCATAATTTCTTCAAATTTTGACTCTTACATTCTATCCTTCCAGAAGTCTATACAGAGAACATTATATGAAATCAGGTACTTCAGACTAGCAGGAACCAATGCCACTTACTCAGGACTTCTGGCACATCCTAGAAAGCTTGTTTTTCCTATTCTTACTATTGCCACCTTCCTTTTCATCCTATCAGGCTTTTTATCCACTTCCTATTACTTTCCTTCTAGAAATCTGATTAGTTCTGATTGTTAAATATTCTATTCACATATTCTTTCTCTCTCATGCTAAATTCTGAATAATTTATTGGTGTTTATCATCCTGTTCGCTACTCTGTCTTCAACTGTGTCTATTATGGTATTTAACTCATTCACTGAGCTTTTAATTTCAACTACATTTCTTATTAGTTATCTGACTTAATATCTGAAGCCTTTAAAGGTCTGATTCTGCTGTATATTTTTGTTATTTTTTTGCACAAATGGTGTAGATTTCTTTGTATGTTTGTGATTTTTATTTTATTATTATGATCTTTTTTACCTTAGAACCTCACCCATATTATGAAAATCCCTTCAGATCTGATTTACATCTATTTCAGTCTGTCTACTGGAAATACTAATGTGTGATGACTTTTAATCAAATTATTTTATTTACTTCATTCAGCCTATCATCAAACTAATTTACTATTGTTGATCTAAATATGTACTTATTAAGAGTCTGTCTTGAAGTTTCTTGGGATCACACAAGTAATTAATAGAAACCTCATATCAAAAATGCTTACAAATTTTTCAAAGCCATCATACTATGTTGACATTAAAACAAGCTAGTTTCCTTATAGTCTACTTTTACTCATTGAGTTTACATTATTTCTTTCTTAAATGAACAAGCCAGTTTTTTTAAAAGGAATGCAATACTTCCTTCCTTAAGTGAAGAGAGTATTTATCTTCTGGTTCTGCAAAACTGTCAAATAAAGCAACATGAACATTCCAGAATGTGGCAAAAATCCTCCCTGAGAAAGTGACTTTGGTTCCTGCTATTCTTTAGAAGTTTTCAATTTCATTTTGATAATGTTCTGTGCATGATCCTTGATTTTTCATATTTGTATGTACCATGTTGTTTTCACCCAGACAATATCATTAGTTTTTGATTCACCATTTTATATATATATATATATATATATATATATGCAGAGCAGTAGGACAATATGTGTAAAACACTAGTTTTATACATATGTATAAAACACTATGTATAAAAAACACTATGTGTTTTATACATATTGTCCTACTGCTCTGCAGTAAATATGTCAATTTACATTGCACTCATCAATGTAGTGGTCAGAATCTAGAATTTTTTATGTTTCAGCTCGTTTTAGTTTCAACGTTTCATTTGTGAATGTTATGAAACTTTATGAAATCCAAAATACTGAATTATCTGTTATCTTTTTCAATAAAAATGAGGAACAAAGGATGGAATATTTCTAGAATCAAAAATAATAAATAAATAAAGGGAAAAAAGACCTTTCAGGAAAGGAGTCTATGCATATTTTGAAGTAAGCATGTTAGTACTAGTAGTTAAAAGAAAATTCAGGCTTTACCAGTTATTGACTGTGGGCAGGTCTCCATTTTTTTCATCTATAAAATACATATGACAGTAGATCCCACAAGAATTGTCAAGAGTGTTAAATAAGATACTGGCAAAGTAGAACGGCTGACAGAAAATAAATTCACAAAACTATCAATAGTAGGCAATATTTTAATTTGTCCCATATAACTCCACTTGTGGGTGGGACAGTTAAAGATTTTGTTGCAATTCAAAACCCATGAGACACTTGCATGTTGCTGTGGGACTTAACAGGTGACTCAGTAGGGTACCCATTACCGGTTTCCTTGCTGCATGTCCCATAAGAACAAAGGCTGTGGGAACCCTTCCTAGTATGTGAGAAAATTGACATGCTTTCTTTGTCTTACTCAGCTATGTACTTACAGAAGATAGATGACATTAAGTCTCCCAAAAAGCTTCTGGGTAAATTTTCTAATGAGGCTTTCAATACAAAAAATATCCTGTGATTCTGTTCTTCGGCAATGAACCACTTCTACCTTTCCTCTTGGAGAAGTAAGTATTGACATTTTTTATCCTGTCCCAAAAAGAAAATAAACAGTCTACTGTTAAGAAGCCAGTCCAATTACATTACATACAAAGTTGAACATTATTTCAGTTTCTGTGCGATCAAAGTGACCATGGTGTTTGAGAGGTCATGGGACACGTTTTCCCATAGGGATATAGGCTATTAACAACCTTCTGTCACAGACGACCATCTGACCATGTTTCTTTCCAGGAGAACCATGTTTCTGAGAACTGGTCTGTCTGGAATTTTCAGCAACTGTATTCTTTGTTTGTAACAAAATCTGCTTTAAAGTATTCTAACAATACATTTGAAAACATTGAAGGGGACTATTTACTGGTTCAATGTCTTCTTGTATTTAAACAGTCATTATGGCATGTGGTCAAGAGTGACAAGAAGCCCTACTGATAGCTGCTGCCTATGCTCCAAATAAAGTCCCCAAACTGGGGACTGAGGGCAGTAGTCCTGAGAGATATTTTAAAACAATCAAAAAAAGTTCTACAGTCAAATAAGTGTAGGAAATGCTGCTTTTGATGGGCTTCCTAAGGGGCTACTTTGCCCATGAAAGTCTTTGAAAAGTTTCACAATCAATTATCTGCTCTCTGCGTAACTCAGTCTTTCCCACACCCCTTTTGAGGAAAATCTCTAATGACAGTGACCATGGAGAATCTGATGTTCCAGAAAGACATTTTGGGCAATGCTGACAGGAATAGCAGACCACAAGACAGTTTCAATTGCGCTCCATGTCTACGTGTATGTAATGTGTGTCTCTCCCATATGTGTGTGTGTATATATAAAATACCATTATTCATTTCCGTAGTTTGCTTTCTCCTCTCAGTTATCCCCATAAAATTCCCATGACCAAGTCACCCATGTATCATCACCATAGTCCCTTGTGCTCTTCTTGCCCCTGTTTCAATCCTTCTCCCTCTCCTTCCCCTGCTGAATGTCTCTGATTTATAGTTTCTTGCTAATTCTGTCTTTTTTGTGTGAGGTTTGAGGGACATTTTATGATGCATTAGCCAGTGAGTTCAAAAGCAGGCAGATTAACTTTCCACCATTGTAGCAACTTTAAGAACAATGAGGAACATTTCCAGCACCCTAGAAAGCTGCCTCATAGAACCCCAGCCCAGTCTTCTCCCTCCAAAAGAAAACTACTCTTTTCTTCTATCACACTGATGATTTTGTAATTTTTGAATTATTAATAAATGGAATTAAACAATGTAATAATTTTCTTTCAAAAAATGAAATTCTTGAAATTTCTTTCAAAACATGAAATTATATTGTTGTGAAATTATATCACTTGACTTTCTGTTATTGTTGTTTACAAACTTGCATAATTTTCATTTTACCTAAGTATCAAAGAACCTGATTATCATAGAGGCCTGAATCTGCACTGGCTCACCCTACATTGTCCAAGTTTACAGAAGTATGCCAATGTATTAATCTACAATGGCAGTGTTCTTGGCAAGCAAGTTCCATGGACTAAGTAAAAGTCTGACATCCTCTCCTTCACTACAACAGGGTGGTAAGAAACAACTTCTTCACCAAAAGTGTGCTATGGTATCACTGCATTGCAGCCTTGGTATCAGAGTGACTGGTGAACTGAGGTGTTCAAGCTAGTTTTAACTCAAGCCAGGTGCTGCATTGTGGAACTGTGAGATCAGAATGACAGCTCCACACTTTACAATGGAAGTAAACTTTGGTATTTATATGTATCTCCAAACAGGAAATACTGGCTCAAACAATATTTTACATTCTGCAGATATAAATAAACATTCCTTTAAACCGGTTTAGCTGTCACTAAGGTGCTTCCACATAGGTGCTATGGAAAAGCCACCTATGCTACCGAGAAAGTTCAGCTATCAGAAGGTGGTTTACACTGGGCTGTGACCAAGAGCAAGGGCTGTAGAATCACACTATCAGTGATGAAACCCAGTTTCTACCACTTATAAGCTCTGCATGTGGCCTTGGGAAAATTACTTAAATTCTCAGGCCCTTCATTTCAAAGTTAGAAATAATATATATCTCAAAATTATTTATTTTATAAATAAAATCTTTTGCAAAACAGTGAAAGAAATATCTGACATATAGTTAAAGGTTCAGTACATATTAACCATTAATTTTAATATTATTCAAAATGCATACTCTCAAATTGAAAACAGACGAACATGAGGTATCACTCAAAGGTCCTGCAGTCTGAGGGGCCTTCATCAACTGCAAAGAAGCCAAGCCAAACAAACTAAAGATGGGTAGCTACATGGCACTTCCTAATTTGTCAGGGCAAACTACACTATTTGATGCCCACAGGATCATCAATCCCCTTTCTGACTGGCACATTTTTTCCTAGAAAAGCAAACATACCTTTCATCATGTGGAAGTAAAGTTTGGTGAGCTGACTAAGATGACTTTACATAACCCAGCTACAATGACTTGATTTAATATTTTAACTTTAACGTCAATCTTTTTGTAAATTCAAAAATAATTCTTAATTACAAAACAATACATTATAACGCATTTTTCATTATACCTTCTAATAAGGCACAAGACTGTCTCACTATGGAAAAGATACATCTTTACATGCTGAAGGTAAAATTCTGGGTTTTGTAAAATTGTGGTAAATACACATAAATAAAATTTACCATTTGAACCACCTTTAAGTGTACAATTTAATAGTTCTAAGTATATTTACATTGTTATACAAATGTCACCAATACCAGTTCTTATTCATCTGACATTTTCTTTTGAACAATTGGCTCCAACCCAAGTCCCCGCATTTTGGGTGATATGTATACATTATAAGTATAGTTACAAGCTTCATTTAAAGGAGTCAAAAACATACCATATGATGAATGGATACAATAGCCCAATAGGAAGATAATCACGGAGGGTATTTCCTAGGAAGGACGTCACTCACTCCAAATTTGATAGAAGCATTAACAACTAGTAAAATGACTGTGGTTTCAAAGAAGGGAATCAGAACCTGGCTAACTACCATCAAGCATTTCTAGGTAGTTTTGTTCTAAGTTCTTTGCTGCAAGCATTTTGTCACAAACATTTTCACTATATAACTGGCTAGAAGACAATGATGCCATAAAAAAAATAAAAATCATGAAAAATAAGAGGAACATTTTAAAATAACAGTGAAAAACTAATAACAAAGGTAAAAAGACATTATTATAAAAAGCAAAAACAGAAGATATTTGCAAATATTTAACTGTGTAGATTCATAACAATCTGGCTCTCTACTCACTTACTTCACACTGCCAGGAAGTTTTATCATCAAATTTCCTATCAAGTCTATATACACAGTTGTTATCACCCACTATTTTAAGATACTTGTCCACTCGTCTCTGTATAGAGTCTAAGAATGATATATCTGTAAATGAGAGTACTGTATCAGTTGGAAATAAACCATCAAACCACACTACCAGTCAGTTATTTTATCTTTTAAAGCAAATTGCCTTATAGTAAATATGCAGCAAAAATGCTGAATCCATCTACTATAGATCAAATAGTAATCAGACAGGTTCTGCTTACCTCTTTCAAAGCCATACTGTCATTTCATTTTATTTTTTTAAAGATTTATTTTTTATGCATACAAGAACTGAGGTACGGGCCAGGGGTATGGGAGGTGAGAGGATTTACCAGAGACAGAGTAGGGAGCAGAACTGGCAGACTGACTGAAGAACACTGCTGAGGGGAGCAGCAGATGGGTCAGGAGAGGTCTGCTGCGCCATGTGTGTCAGCTCCCTGGCCAGGGACTGAACTAAGGATTGCTGCAGTGACTGCCCATAGCTTCAGAGTGCTGTGCTTTAACCACTGTGCCACAAGGAGAGCCCCCATACTGTCATTTTAATACTTGTTAATGTTTCTACCAGATTTGGTGTGAAAGGGATCTGCAGTGGAGATACTCTCCCATGGTTGTCTCCCTATTGAGCTATTGTGCTCATCTATCACTAATACACAATTGTACTTTTTACAGCCCATGAATGAATTTGGGTGTTTCCCAAATACAAATTTTCTTATTTGTAAATGTTATCCTTTACCTTCTTTAGGTAGAAAAATACTTTAATAATATCCAGACTCCTGTCAAATGCAGCCATAAGTATTGTCATTCCTGGCTTTGGTTTTATCTTAAAAGCCAAACTATAGAGAGACATCCAGTTTGTGAAACACAGTATCAAACACTAAAGCCACAAATATATAAAAATCCTGAATAAATAAAGTGGGAAAGTACAGCAAGAGAGTTGAACTTGGAAACAAAAAAAGAGAACCAGGAAGGAGTAGGGTATATATATATATACCTCAAGTATTCCACACCCAGGTAGTAATGCCTTTGTGTATACTGGCTCAGGAAGGGATACAATCTGACACAGGTTCTGAGGGCCACAGTTATAATAGTCCATGGAATAACATGTCTCATTCAAAAGAGAACTGAAACTAAAAGCCTTACAACCTGAAATTTGGAAAGGTAGGCCTCTAGGCGAGTGAGGGGACTAGAAAAATTAAACTATTAGCTCAAGAAAGTGACAAAGAATTGCCAGACAATATAAACTTGTGAGATGGAAGGTGATAAGAAGTAAAGCAGGTATTGTATTATTGAGAGGAAACTAGAGCTATTTAACTTTAAGTTTTGTTAAATCAATTATGCATAATTATAAATTTAAGGGAAAAAACAAAAGTATCTTTAATTTACTAGCTATTATTTTGCTAATGATTTCTTTTATCACTGTGATCTCAATTTATTTAAAATTTTTAAAAAGATGGTGAAAATATTTCAATAATATATATGATACAGAGGTTTGGCAAATATTTTTATAATGGTTACAAATAACTTCAGTTTGGAATATCACCATAACAAAAAAAAATAATAATATAATAGTTTATTTTTACATCATTTTGTGCCTTTTTCCATCTTAGTTGTAATCCTCGTGGGCTTCCTATCACCAAAACATAACATACTTATGAGAGCATCATCTGCAGAGGTAGATGTGCTATTTCTACAAGCATAAACACATAAGCATATTTGCCAAATTCCGTAAGACTTTGTAGCTGTGAAAATTCTCAAGACATGAAAATTCATGGATAGACCTCAACTACATATAACCAAGTGAAAAAAGCCAATCTGAAAAGTCGTATATTGGATATTCAATGATATGCCATTTTGAAAAAGGTAATACTATTAAGACAGAAAACAAATAGATCGGTGATTGCTGAGGACAGGAGGGAGAAAGGGATGAATGAGGCAGAGAGGATGTTTAGGAGAGTGAAACCATTTTTCAACAATACTATATCTGAATACTTGTCATTATAATTATATTATTTGTCAAATCCCATAGAATATACAACACCAAGACTGAATCCTAATGTAAACTGGGGGGGTGGGGGGCAAGATAAGGGGAAGAGAGGGAAGGATATGAGAAAGAAGGGGCATTGTAGAGGAAAGCCAAGGGATATATAGGAATTGTCTGTCCCTTTCACTCAATTTTGTTGTGAACCTAAAACTGCTTAAAAAAATGCAAGTTTATTTTTAAATTCTCTTAATAATTTGTACATAATCCACTTTTCTGTTTTTGAAGGAGTTCAAAAATAAAACCAGCTAACATTTACTGAGCACCATTTACTGAGCACTTTACAAAGATTTTCCCCCCTCTGTAATGCCCTAATACAGATATCACTGTCCTTTCTACTTTTTTTTAATCGGTAAGGGCATTGCGGCTAAAAAAAAACTTAATTAAGGCTTTCTCAAATTTTAATTTATCTAAGATTGGTTCGCTTGTTAGTAGTCTATTCGTCCTTTAAATTTTTTCCTATTATCTGGATTTAAAATACCTTCTGTTATTTTTAATCACAAGTCTTAATCATCTGGGTACAACTTTGTAGAAACGAAGGGCAGAGGAATTCAGACACTACAAAGCCTAGCATGCATAGCGACGCCGGGCCGCCAGGGAGTGCAGCAACTCGCCCCTGGGCATTCTGGGAATGGTAGTTTTCTGACAAGCTTCTTCTCCGCGCCCTCGAGCGTCTCAGTAGTCAAGCGCGTTTCCTTCTCCCCTACACCGAGCGCCAAGTCGCCACAGACCCACCCGTCCTCGCACGGTCATCCCATTTCTACACTCTGCCCTGGAGAAGCGCCCCTGACGCCCTTACACCCAATCTCCACTTCTCTGGCCGCAGGTTAGATACCCACCTTGCCCACAACTGCAGAACGCCAGGTTCCACTGCTAACTCCACAGAGGACGCGCTGCCGGGTTACCACAGAAACACTGCCTGTGCTACTGCGCATGCGGGAGGTCACTTCCTCATCCATTTCCGGGATCTCGCGGGTGGACTGCTCGGTGCTTCTGCGTTGTCTGGCTGTCCCGGAGCTCGTCGGCGCCGGTGCGGAGCGCGGCCGCGCGGTCTCAGTTCCAGAGGCTCACGGTTCTCCTGAGGGCTGCTAGTGTTGTAAACATGGCGGCCTCCACCGCGGCCGGGAAGCAGCGGATTCCCAAAGTGGCCAAGGTAGGCGATGGCGAGGGCGGCCTGTTACTTTAACGTATCATCAATCCAAAACAGTTTCATGAGCCTGTTTACTTCTTCATACTAAATCTTAAAAATGTACTGTATTTAACACTTAACAATTTGAGCTCACGACAGGTGTCTCATGGCTACTGTTTTGGACACGCAGCTCTGAGACGTGGACAAGTTTACAGCCTCTGTACAGACAATTATTGAGTTTTGTCTTAGACTTGAATGCCTCGAAATGTAAGACTCAGTTATCCACTCGGGGCCTAACCTGAAGCATTCTATAGAGGTTGTAATGCTAAGTAAAATGTAACACACATCTTTGAAGAAACAAAATCTTTAGTTGAGGACCTCCCTGGTGGCCTAGGGGTTAAATCTCTGTGCTATCAACATTGCAGCCTCAATTCCATCCCTGCCTGGGAGCTGACCCATAATGGTACAGCAGACCTGGTATTGCCATAGACCTGATATTGCAACAGATCTGCCTATTCTGCTCCCCACCTGTCTCTTTGATTCCTCTCACCACCCCTCCCCCACCTCTGGCCTCAGTTCTATGGAATAAAAAAAGAGAGACTATTACCTGAGTAGTCTCAAAGTTATAGTAATATAATAGGGAAACTTGCTAATTTTGTTACCTTTTCTCTTGGAACTTTTTCCTATGATTTAAACGTAATCTCTTTTCTATTTAGTTTCTTAAATTTTGTGTGAAGAGCATCTACTTAAAATAGAAATGTTTTCTGTCTTAAAAGGTGAAAAACAAAGCCCCAGCTGAGGTACAGATAACTGCTGAACAACTTTTAAGAGAAGCTAAAGAAAGAGAACTTGAGCTTCTTCCACCTCCACCGCAACAGAAGATCACAGATGAAGAAGAGCTAAATGACTACAAGCTAAGGAAAAGGAAGGTGAGTCAATATGTATCTCTCCTGTGTATCTTTAAATCTTCTATTATTAAGAATTTTTAGATCAGACTTGGACGAGTTCCTCGTTGGTTATAGAGACTGCAAGATACAAAGAAGTTAGTCTCATGAATAATATAACTTCTGGTTACCATATAACTGCATTTTGCTGAACTTATAAAGGATACTGTGAGTTGTCTGTTTTAAGGTACAAGGAGATTAAATACACCAGATACATAACTTTTGGTGCTGAGTCAAAAATGGGTAACAATTTAGCAGGTGAAAGAACTGATAACTGGAAGAGGGTGAGCTCAGCAAGACTTCCATTTGTACTTCTCTGTGAACCATCTTTTGTGCTAAGAAGTTAAGACCTGGGAAAGATCCAAGAGAAGTCTTGGGCATGTGATCTGACCTCCTCATCCAGGAATATGGGATTATTTTTAACTAATCCTGTTTTGTATACTTTAGTCTCATTGAGTTATGTATGAAATTCTAGGATATTAGAGAACTTTGTTAACATTTTCCTGTTAGGAACATCTAGCATATATTAAAGTATCAGCTGTCATGGGCAACAGGAGAAGTTAACCAGTTCTGCGAGTAATTCCTTATATTTGAAGTTCTGTATATCTGCACGTGAAATTTTAAAGAAAAATCTGAGACTGCACCTTCTTTAGTAGGATTCTTATACCTTGAAGAATCTAGGATAAACTTTTTAGTACAAGATCAATATACAAAGGCAATTTTGCCTTTTAATGTGACCTTTTTTGCCTTCTTTCAGACTTTTGAAGATAACATAAGGAAAAACAGGACTGTAATTAGCAACTGGATAAAATACGCACAATGGGAAGAGAGTTTAAAGGAGATTCAAAGGTAAAATTGCTGTATCATTTTGTATACAAAGATGCCATAAGTTAATGTAAGAGTGTGCTTCAGATAGTAACTTTCCAAGTTTGTTAATGGGACCTAGAGTCCCTGTGAGGGCCTCAGGGGCACTCTGGCAAGCTAGTCCTGGCAGTGGCAACAGCATGGGCTCTTTAGGTGGGTCTTAGCGCTAAACAGTCTGCAGTCAGAGAAGTACAGTTTCATCTGATTTCTCTAAATTAGGATTTTCTAAAATAAAATTTATAACACTGAAAAGAAATGACCAGTTGAAAATCATGACCTGGCCCTTCCTTCTGTCTAGCTTTTGTGCATTCTTCCAGCATAGCCCTACCCTGCCTGTATCTACATACTTGTCCACTCCCTAAACCATGTCATGTCTGCTTACTGTGACACCTAGCTGTTCTCTTTGCCTAAAATGACATCCCATCCTGCCTACCTTGGACACCTTAGTCTCTAGAATTTTCCTCAAACCCAAGAGTTTGTTATCTGTTGTTAACCTTTTCCACCAAGTTTTATTTCTTCTCCTTTGCTTCCTTGTGCAGAATTTGGATGTAACATTTTTCACATCACATTATAATTACATGAATACTTGTCTTACTCTTGTGTCCTGAGAACATTATATCTCCATACTTTTTTATGCCTAGACCCTGACTCTTGATTAACACCCTATAAGAAAACAGGGCACATTAAGTGATGTGAAATAGTTGTCACTTGTGTTGTGTGGATTACCTTTGATGCCCTCCAAATCTTGCTTCTTAAGGGCTCGATCCATATACGAGCGTGCCTTAGATGTAGACTATCGAAATATTACACTCTGGCTGAAATATGCAGAAATGGAAATGAAGAATCGCCAGGTCAACCATGCCCGAAACATCTGGGACCGGGCCATAACTACCCTACCACGAGTCAACCAGTTCTGGTAAGTGTCTGGTGGAATAACTACCACCTTTTAATAGTTCTTCATTTTTGTATATTTTATTCAGAGTTGTAGTAATTGTATATACTTAATTTTTAACCCTACTTTTAGACATAACATCTTAATATCCCACTGTATTTAATTTATTAGCAAATAATCATAAACTAAAGCTTTGATTGCACTCTTTGAGAAATCTTTTTGTACAGTATTCTTCCTTTTTACATTTATATTTTAATGAGAAACCGGTTAGTTTAACCTTTAGAGAAGAAAAAGCCCTAGATCATATTTATATTCAACAAAGTTATAATTAGAAATTGCCAAAGATCTTTTTTCCCCTCAGTCAGTTTGACCGTGCCAGATATTTCTGGGTGATTATGTTAAAGGTACAAGTACACATACATGGAGGAGATGCTGGGAAACATTGCTGGTGCCCGTCAAGTGTTTGAGCGCTGGATGGAATGGCAGCCTGAGGAGCAAGCCTGGCATTCCTACATCAACTTTGAGCTGAGATACAAAGAGGTGGATCGGGCCCGCACCATTTATGAGCGATATATCCTTCAGACAAAGTCTGCGTGTTGCCGCTGTGGGTTCAGGTGCTGCTCCTTCCATGGTGGTACATCATGGGCAGGACACATTCATGTTGGCTGAGAAGTCAAAGATGCAGGTTTCATCTGCTTCGCAAGCTACATGTTTTCTAGGGAATTCAGTTAGAATAAAATTTTGTAGCCTGGGTAATTGTTTTGAGTCTCTCTTAGTGAGACTGAACTTCTTTAATGCTCAGGTGCCATGTGGTGCCATACTAAAGTGCTGCTTTTCTAGGGTTTGTGTTGGTGAGTAGCACCGCTTCTGGATCTATCCAGAAGTTTACTGTTTACCATCCATAACCATGTAACCCTGAGTCATTTCATTCCTTTGAACCTTGAGCCGTAGCATATTCAGTTTTTGAGATTAAAAATTACTACTGTGAGCTGATGGTGAAGATTAGATGATAACATGTAACTTTAGCAACTAAAGTAGTTTATTCCCATTATTCACTATGTCCATATTTGAATCCTACTTGCTAAAATGTACTTATAACCCCCAAACAGTATTTGTGCCATGTTTGCATTCATTCACAGAGTGAATGAAGCAAGCAGAATGAAGCAAGCAGAGTGACGAAAACTTTTGAGTCCCCAGCATGTATTCCCTATTGAGGACAAACAAGTGAGAGTCTGCCTTCTTTTCTGTACTTGCATAAAGTGATGAACAGAGTTTGGAGATGGATGGGAACCATGCAATGTATTTCAAGAAACTCCAACTCTGGGGCCATTGGGATGGGTTTTGAATCCCTTCTCTGGCACCTTTCTGGGGGGCTGCCTCAGCCAAGTCATTTCACTCTTCTGAACCTTGTTTTCTCTTTCATAAAATACAGAAAACAGAGTCTACCAGGATTAGTTAGTTGTTTTTAGCATTTAAGACTATGAGCTGTATATGCTTATTTCCCCTTTCAGGATATTTTGTTATTTTCTGAGTGATCACAGTGACTTCATAGACCATTACCATAAATAACAAAACCCACTTTATTGTGGTATTTTAAGATCTTACTCATTTTAATATTACTCTTTTAACAAAATGTTTTTGTAGCATTGCTGTGTGGTAGGCTTTGTAAGCACTTTACAAATATCATCATTTTATCCTCATGACTGTCCTATGGTAACAGACTGCTCCATTCTGCATGAAACAAAACTGAGGCATGTAAGTAGCTTGACCAGGATTTCAGTGGTGAAATTAAGTTTTGGTTGCAATAGCAGCTTCAGAATCAGTTCTTTTAATATCATGGTTATGTTTGAATGTGTTACTATCTTAGGAATTCATGATTTCCTCAAGGAAGTCAGGTTAAAAGTAAATACATGCTATTAAGTAATGAAATGGCAATTCAAAACTTGACTCAAGTTAGCAGTTTTGTGACATGTTGGTTTTTACGTAATCATCAATATTTAAGTATTAATGTTAGAGTTAGTTAAGCATTCTTTTGGCCCAAAACTGCTAAGAACTTTCTATACATTTCTGCAGTCAAATGCTCTACCCCCTCCACTCTCTGTACATTTTCTCATTAAATAAGCCAGCAGTTATCCATTAAGCCCGGTGTAATGCTCACTTTTCTCTATTTAAAGATAGTAAAGCTGAAATTTAGGAAAATCAAGTGACTTTTCTAGGAACACATGGCTAGTAAATCTAGTTTTAGCATTTTTATGACCCCAAACTCTTCTTTGTATCTAGCACTGTAATACTGAATTGTAATTGAGCACTAGAATAAGAGATTTTAAGAAATCAATATTGTCTTGCGTAGTATTTCCTTAATTCCTCTGCACTTGTTCTCGTGCACCCTGATGTTAAGAACTGGATCAAGTATGCCCGCTTTGAAGAAAAACATGGTTATTTTGCTCATGCAAGGAAAGTTTATGAGAGAGCTGTCGAATTCTTTGGAGAGGAACATATGGATGAACACCTCTATGTTGCCTTTGCTAAATTTGAAGAAAATCAAAAAGAGGTAAATAAGCTTGAAGAACATCTTAGAGCAGATTACTTCTTGCGCACGTTGAGTTCATTGCCACTGTCTTTCCCTTGTAGAAAATATTTACAAACTATAAAAGTATTATTTACTTCTGAAGGTATACATGTGGTTAAGCTGCAGACTGGAAGTCAAATGATTATAGATTGTGTTGTCTTTTCTTGAAAAATAAGTCCTCACATCTAGAGTGAGAATATTGTCTATAAACTGAGAGTTATTTGGTACCCTGATCAAAAGGCTTTATATATATAATATGCCTAGGAAACAAGTACAGAGCCCTCAGAATAGAGAATAGAATTTGAAATAAGGAATTCTCACAAATTCATCAGTTCTTTTCTTTCATAATATCCTTTTAACATAGTCCTTAAAGTAGTTTACGTAATACAGATTTAAGAGAGAGAAACTAGAATCCAAATGCAGGGTCTGTATCTATCATGATAGGGGCTTCAAATTCTATTCCAAGACTAGTGGGAAGTATTGAAGTGTTTAAAGAAGGTCCTCCTGCTAATTCATGGAGATTACAAGGGAGGAAGTGGGCTGGCAAAAGTGGAAAGCAGACTTTCAAAATGGTCCATGAAAAAAGTAGCTTGGCAGGGGGGCTAGGGAAAGTGAAGGGAAGTGTTGAGGAGGTAGAAGTAGCAGGACTTGTTGAAATAGTGAATGTGGGGAGTGAGGAAAAGAGAGGACTCAGAGGAGAACTGCTGAGATTTTTGGCTTGAGCAAGTATATGATGGGAGAGGTTGCTTACAAAGAGTGGGAAAGACATAGGATCAGTGGGGAGAAATAGGTCCAGTTTTAGACCTGTTTAGTTTGAGATGCTTAGCTAGCATCAGTTAGCAAATCAGGTAATATTACATGTGGAGCTCCAAAGAGGGTGTTGTCCATCTTGACTAAAAGAAAAATGTTATTTTGTACATTTGAGTCTTTACAGGAATGTTTTAATATAAGGACTATTTTACATCATACTCCCAGAACTAGAATGAGAAGATCATGTTATAGAAAGTAATCATTTTATCTACTTTTAGTTTGAAAGGGTACGAGTAATCTACAAATACGCCCTGGATAAAATTTCAAAACAAGAGGCCCAAGAACTCTTTAAAAATTATACCATCTTTGAGAAGAAATTTGGTGATAGACGCGGTATTGAAGACATCATTGTGAGCAAAAGGAGATTCCAGTATGAAGAAGAAGTAAAGGCAAGTGCTGGCGTAGATGCCGTCCCTACAGCTAGCTGAGATATGCCAGCAAATCCTGGCTACACTAGATGAACAAATACCAGCAGCTCAGGGTTAGTAGCAAGTGTGCTCTTGATTGTATCTCTGCAATAAATCAGCAGTTATTCTAGATAGGTAGGAATAAGCCAGGCTGATAGAAAAGGCAAGCACACAACTGAATGTGCTCTGCTGCTTAATATGTTGAAAGTCAGTTTGTAGCTTGCTGATCTTGTACTGTAGATAGAATGTGAGCAAAAGAAATTTGAGATCCACTTGAGCTCATTTTTTAACATAGAGGGAAGAATCAGAGATTGATCCCAGCACCCATACCTTTTAGCATAACTACTTAAAGGAAAGGCATTAATGATTTGTAGCTAATCCTAAGCAAGTATATCTAAAATACATGTCTGATTATTGAGTACTTATCTTGGAAGTGGTGGTCATAGGTGAAAGGGGCCTTGCCATGACACCGGCCTCATAGTCTGTCCTCAGCATCCTTTTTGTGAAATCTTAGAAATGATAGCCTTAAGTGTCAAGTGTAGAAAAAGTTGCCAAAATATGAAAAGTCAGTCTCATACCTTCTTCAGCTCACATAGCCTAGCAAGTGTAGCTTTTAAGAGATTTTGCGTTTATTTATAAAACCAGTTGTTTTCTAGGCTAACCCACACAATTATGATGCATGGTTTGATTACTTGCGCTTGGTGGAAAGTGATGCAGAAGCAGAAACTGTGCGAGAAGTCTATGAGAGAGCCATTGCCAACGTCCCACCCATCCCGGAGAAGAGACACTGGAAGCGCTACATCTACCTTTGGGTCAACTATGCACTCTATGAAGAATTGGAGGCAAAGGTAAAAACTGAAATTACCTGTCAGCTTGTCTCACCTTCAACTTGCAGCTTGACTTTTGGGGTAGTAACTAATATATATAGTCCTTAAAACAAAAGCATTTAGTTGTTTATTCTTAGAGACCTCCCTCAGCCATATAGTTATATTTGATGTCTGTGTCTACAACATTTTAAATCCTAGAGACCTTTTACAGGCACAGGTAAATGTTTTATTGTAAACTTTGAGATACAGGGTATCACTTGGAACCTGAAAATAAACCATCCCTTCTCCTAAATACAGAGTTCCCTGGGTGTTCTCAGAAACAGGGATCACAGCTAAATTGTACATTTTTGCTTTTTGTTAAAGTGAAACTTTCAGAAACTGGTCATGTATAAATTAACTGGAAAGAATTAACTTTCTGCTGTTCATCTAGAATTATAAAACATCTTTCTTCCTGCTCTCAGGCAAAAAAACCTTCCTACAGAGAAGCTCTCAGAATTTGATGGCTATATTGTTAATGATTCTTAAAGTTCGGTGGCCAAAAAGGTAGTTCACTTTTGCTCATAAATGGAATCAGGGTTTGGAAATAGCAACTTGGGGAAATATATTCATTGTTGGGGTATATATTTCTACTAGTATTAGTAAAAATAGAGTTACTGGTAGAGACAGTACTGGCAACAAACTCCAATATTCTGTGAAAACCTCTTACTCTGTTACAGGATCCTGAGAGAACAAGACAGGTGTATCAAGCATCTTTGGAATTGATTCCTCATAAAAAGGTACATTTAATCTTAAGTGTTCTAAACAATTAAAAATTCTGCTTCTGTTACTTGTGAAATGTTATTGACTGTTTCTCTGTGCTAAGTGCCAAAATTAAGGTTAAGATAGGCTCTTTGAAAAAAAAAAGAGGCTCTTTGCCGCTGAAAGCATCTTTAGGCTAGTTGGGAGGATAGCCGGTGTTTAGTGACAAATGAACAATACAGGTAGAATACTACATGTAGAATTTCAGAGGAGGGTAGATAACTGGAATGAGGAAACCCACATCTAGAGAAGACACAGCATGGTCTGGGAACAACAAACAGTATTTATTGGCAACTGAATGGATATACCCATCCATACGTGAGCAAGCATGGGTTTTCTGAGAGTAATTGAAACGTTATCTCTTACCACATTTCTTAACATCAGAACCTAATAGAAATGTTGATCGAGTTACCTTCTAGAATAAAGGTGTAGCAGAGGCCGTAGGCCTGTGTATTACCATAAAGGTTCTAGATCACAGTTGTTTATAACCATACTAGTTCTGAAAATTTAGGGACATCTTATTGCCACTGGTCTTTTGTTCACTGAAATTGGACAATTCAGCTTCATGTAAATGAGTTCCTTACAATAGATATTTTGTACTTTTGTTTTCTAGTTCACATTTGCCAAAATGTGGTTACTGTATGCACAATTTGAAATAAGACAGAAAAATTTACCATTTGCCAGAAGAGCTTTGGTAAGTAAAGAGTCAAGCTGTGCGATTAAGTTCTATGAAAAGAAAATTAAAACCTTAGTGCTTATATAATGTACTCCTCATAAATAATTCCACCTAAGAAAGCAACAGAAATATCATGCTTTTATAATCTGAAACATATTAGGAAACATATGACCTTTGGAAAAAGTTGGATGATGATGTTTAAATTATTCTTACCAGCTCAGACAAACTAACACTCTGTTTTAACATTCAAAACTTACCTGTAGTTACCAGCTCCTCCATCAGACTAAGAAGATCTGATATTAGATAAGATCTGACCTTAGATCAATTCTTTTGTAGTCTGACCCTTTGTAATTTTTGGTGTCTTTAATGCACTTTCCTTTTAATAATTGTTTCAGTATTTAATAGGGTCAAATACAGGCATACTTCAGAGATAATGCAGGTTCTAGTCCAGACCACTGCAAGGAAGTGAGTTGTGAGATTTTTTGGTTTCCCAGTGCATAGAAAAGTTACAGTTATACTGGATTCTGTAGTTTGTTTAAAGTATGCAGTAGCATTATGTCAAAAAAAAAAAAGTATGTAAATAAAAAAATCAAAACACAAAGTATTGGGAAAATGGTAATTCAAGGTGTCCATAAACCTTCCAGTTGTAAAAAAAAAATGCAGTTATGTACAAAATTCAAAGTTCAATAAAGCAAGATACATCCATATTATAGTTCTGAAAAGCTAGTCTCACCCAGGCTATGGGTAACTTCCATTCTTTGATTGCCTTTTGACTTATTGGAGGCTTTCAACATCTGACATCCATATCTCCAAGGATATCCTAGGAAACTGAGTAAAATCAGAACATTTTGGAACACTATCTTTCTGAACAGGCACCAGTGGGTACAAGCCCTCTTAAAAGCTGGGGACTTGATTTTGAGGTTCCTTTCACCTATTGTCAGGAACCACCTTCAACCTAGAATACCACAGAGGGCAAGAATGGTTTTCTATGTTAACTGCAAGTTTCTTGCTCAGAAAGAAAAGCTTTTAGGACAGGTTGTGAAGACTGCACAAGTGGAAACCACTAACTTATCAATGGCTTGGTCATTTTATTTTTCAGGGAACTTCCATAGGCAAATGTCCAAAGAACAAGTTATTTAAAGGTTACATAGAACTAGAACTACAGCTTCGAGAATTTGACAGATGCCGGAAGCTTTATGAGAAGTTCCTGGAATTTGGGCCTGAAAATTGTACTTCTTGGATTAAATTTGCAGAACTAGAGACTATACTTGGCGATATTGAAAGAGCCAGGGCAATTTACGAGTTAGCCATCAGTCAGCCACGCTTAGACATGCCAGAGGTGAGTTGAATTTAATAAGTTTAGACACTTCTCTAGTATTAGATAACAATCAAAATGTGTGTGCCTTTTAGAGATCTAACTAACTTACAGTTTTACCCACTTAGATTAGGGCTTTTCTGTTTGGGGAATAGGGGAAGGGGAAGGGGAAGCACCCTCTAATCAGAGCACAGCAAAGCCTTTTTAGGATACCCAGGATGAACTGGAACACAATGGGTGGGCTCCCCTCCCTTTTTCTTTTTTTCATTTTTTCTTTTTCTGCAGAACTGGGGTATAGGCCAAAGGTTCAGGGGATGAGAGGATTCACCAGAGGCAGTGATAAACAAAACAGGAGGCAGATCTACCTAAATACACTGCTGAGTTGAGCAGTGGGCTAGACAGGTGAGGTCTACTGTGCCTTGTGGGTCACCTTCCTGGCTGGTAATCCAACTCAAGCCATGGGGTGACTGAGACTTAACCCTTAAGCCACCTGGGAGGGCCACTCCCCACCCTTTCTTAACCAGAAAACTAAAGAGGTGACAGGCTGACAGGGAAGGCCAGGGAAGGAAACAGACAGCAGGCAACCCCATCTGGAAAAACATGGAAGAGGGAAATTGAGGCTGCATATCCCTGACTGAGATAACAAAAGAGATAACAAAAGAGACTGTAACTAAACAGAATGTTCCAGGAACAACTGCCACTGTCCTGCAACAGGACCCAAAATCATCCCTTTGGTAGGACTAAACCTGAGCCACAAGGTGGCACCAGACCACAGCTAGGACAAGTTTGAATCTCAGGAGCCTATGGATTTACCCAGCCGTTTTGCTAATCTTAAGACTAATATGACAACAGTGCATACGGGCATGTACCTTGCCCACAGCATTAAGGCAGGGGGTTGTGTGTCGCTGGTTCCATGAGTCAGACTGTCAGCCAGCTCCCAGTCATCCAGCCATGTCTTTCAATCTTGTGCCCTCACAAGCTATACCTAGCAAGTAGGCAGCTATTCACTGAATGTGTTAGTTGAATTCAAACATCATGAAATTTACCTAGAGAAATGATGTATAATGGTTAACCTAGGCCTGATTTCTACCTGCACATTTAGTTGCATGTTGCAGGTTCATGACAATGGCATGGAGTTGGCAAGTTCCACAGTTCTTGATAAGGCAGCATTTTTAAAATGCTAAAAATTTAATATAGGGCTCTTTATCTCATAACCTCGGATTTTAACCAAGTTTTTCCAAGCTTGTAAATACCAGTATTATTTATTTAATCCACACGCCATCTATCATTTCAATTGTTTATGAAAATCCTAGGTTCCCGAATGAACTAGGTGAGAATGGTAGTTAAGCTTTGCTTTGGATAGGGGAATGTTGATTTTTTAATATCAAGACTCACCGATTACATTACCTTTCTTAGGTGCTTTGGAAATCATATATTGATTTTGAAATTGAACAGGAAGAAACTGAAAGAACACGAAATCTTTACCGGCGATTGCTTCAGCGAACACAACATGTTAAGGTATCCTGTTGCTTTGATTCTTTAATTCTTCAGTTTTGTTGGAATCAGCAGTCCTGAAGAAGAAACTATTTCTATAAGAGATTTTTTAATTTTTATTCAAACATCTAGTTGGCTACAGAAGTAGACTGCTTCAAAATTGCTATTCAATTTTATAGTCAGTATGGTATACTCTTTGGAATATTAGTGAAGACACATTTGTATGTTCAGTTGTCATTAACAGACTAGCTTTATTATTATATTATTGTTTCTGGATGACAGGGTTAATTTGGTTCTTTAATTTCACTTACAGGTATGGATCAGTTTTGCTCAGTTTGAATTGTCTTCAGGGAAAGAAGGAAGTTTGACTAAATGTAGACAAATATACGAAGAGGCTAACAAAACTATGAGAAACTGTGAAGAAAAGGAAGAGAGGCTTATGCTGCTGGAATCTTGGCGAAGCTTTGAAGATGAATTTGGAACAGTATCAGATAAGGAGAGAGTCGACAAACTCATGCCAGAGAAAGTCAAGAAGAGGAGAAAGGTTCAGGCTGACGATGGGGTAAGAACTGAGTCCTGGAACTGGTCATGGCATGTCAAATGAGCAGAAATATGTTCACCCTAAAATTTGCATCCTTATGTGGCATCTGTGCCATCTGAAAATGGCAGTCGACAGCCTCAAGTAGAAGACATTCTGGCTACCTTGGAGAAACAGAGCAGGTGTATGATCCACTTGGGTGAAGAGGAAGGGGAGGAGTTCAGGACCTTATGGAGCTTTAAGCAGAAAGGTCAGCATGGAGGAAAATGAGTCAGCTTTTAGGTAGGAGCTAGTTCAGAGATGGTCCACAACTTAGGCTTTAAGGCTCTAATGCATTAAAAGATTCAGTTGCCAGGTTCTCCTGCAGAAGAAAATGAGGACATAGATTGGAGGAGGATTCAAGGGGGGCTTTTGTAAGCAAAGCAAGTGGTGGTAGAAGCTGGAATTGGAGTGTATTTAGTGAGTGAAATTAGTGACTGAAGGAAGGGATGTACAGGAAGTCAGAATGATACACAAATTTGTGGCTTTCACTACTGTGTAATATTAAGTGAATCTAAAAATTTGCAATCTTAAAACATAAGACTGCATGATGGAGTCGAAGACACCAGATACCTTCTTGTTAGCTATAAAGCAGCTTTTTAAGTGACTGTTAGAATTTTTTCCACCAGGGTTTTCATTCTCACTGAGCTATAATTTTGGAACACCAGCTTACTCACTCACGTGTTCAAGGCACAGCTTTTGTTCTTCCTGTAATAGAACTTGACGTTTTTTTTTTTTTGTAAAATGAAGTTGTATTGGAACTCTGGGTTTCCCAGTGAACAATTCCCTACTTTAACTGAAATGTGTATTCAGCCAGTTGTTAGCTTATCTTTTAACCGTTTATATTCTTTTTTCTTTAGTCTGATGCAGGCTGGGAAGAATACTATGATTACATCTTTCCAGAAGATGCTGCCAACCAACCCAACCTCAAACTACTGGCCATGGCCAAACTTTGGAAGAAACAGCAACAGGAAAAGGAGGCTGCTGAGCAAGACCCAGATAAGGACATCGACGAGAGTGAATCTTGAGCTTGTTCGTATTGATAAATGTTTTTATTTTTATAAATAGTTTGGAACTCTTATGACTCTTTAAGTTTTTGTATATTTCACCACTGATGAATCAACTAGAATTCTGGCAACTACTTTTCAAATTACTTTTAAATGCTCTTGGGTAAGTTTGGGGTAGGAATTGCAAGTAAGGGAGTTTTCTAAACTGCTGGACTTTTTTAATCTGAGGCCAAACATTTTTTTGTCCACAACATACACTAAGAAATGAATTAGTGTTACCTATTTTAGGTGGAACTGCTGACTTTTGAAAGAACCTTTTCTAGAAGTTTTCAAATTACAGCCTGTAGTAACTTTTAAGCATATTTGTCTCATGCTTTTCTTTGTATTTTATGCATCAGAGGCCTATTTTTTGTCTTCAGAATCAGACTTGAGTTCCATTCCCCTTTCAGCCACTTAGTGATACAACTTAACCTTTAGTTTGTGTATTCAGTCATATATTGAGCTAATACTTTGCCAATTCATTTTGGATTAAATGATAAAAGGAATATACCTGGCACATAGTAATTGCTCAATAAAATTTCCCCAGCAACTTTCTTAGTCATTCATTGTAGAATTGTGTGCTTGTATTAATTTCTGACAATCCTTACCTCCTTAATAGTGGCCATTTATTAGTCATTACTTTTGAAGACATTACTTAAAAAAATAATTGTATTTCTGAACAAGGTATTTTTTACCAACGACATTTCAGTTGAGTTTCATTTATGCTATTAATCATTAGTTTCTCAAACTGGTTGAGTTCTGTATGTCTTAGAGAATAGTTAATACTTATGCTGTGAAAAATGATGTCCCGTGCTCAAATTTGGGAAACCTAGCTTAAAGATAAAGCCTTCTTAGTCAAGTATCTTTACAGTTAGGTTTCTCAAAGCATTTGATGTGTTACTCTACAAGTGACCAGGAACAATGCTGGCATGTTTCCCAAACTTATGGGAAGGAATCATTTCTATGAATACCTGTAAGCATCTCCCAGTGCACTGCACTGCAGTAAAAAGTACTACCCCTAACAACTGACACACTAAATTTTGCTGCTTTATTTTTAAAAAGTTATCGTTGGTTTAGAACATGTGGGAACACCTAAGGTGTCTGTGCTAAATAATCAGATTTAAAAGTAGCATAAGAATGTCGTCTTTGGTGACATATTGCTCACATTCTCAAGCAGAAAAAGTACTTTCCTGACCTAATTGTGTTATTTAACTTGGCCTGTATTTTTCAAGCCTCTCTCTTTTGTTCACAGCATAAGCTGACTAAAATGGAATCAAGAATCAGGACTTTTTTCACCTGTGATAACTGGCAAATTCAGTGTTACCCACCAAACAATTAAAGGCTAGTTAATGTTACTAAATTATATCTTGAAAATGATCGCATCGGAGGGCAGAAAGAATAGTACTAGGATCATTGATAAACCGATTTTTAGCCTCACTGCTTTAGTCACCAGACAAGTGCTAGCTATTAGAGGGTCAAGTAGTTTTTGACTGTTTAATACAAGGTCTTGTCAGCAAAAGGAACACTTGTGATTTTAAGATCTTTTTTCTTAGTATGCAGAGTAAAGGTTGTGATGAAAATAGATCACAATGCCAAATTACTACTCTTAAACAGAGGCTTCCTAGAATTACTTGTCTGTCTCATAAATGCACAAGAAAAAAGAAATTCGTGATCATGACCTCACTGTAAGCTCTTACTACCACTTTCTGAAAAAAAAAAAACAACTTTTTGGCAGTGTCAGTACGAAATGCTTGAGAAAACTTATTCCCTTGGCTGAACATAAGGATTCATTTCTTACCCTTAAATTCACCAAAATAAAAGTAAAAGCTTTTTAATAATTTGTGAGATTTTTTTTAGATTTTATTTATGCATACAGAAATGGGGTACAGGCCCAAGGTGCAGGGACAGCGAGAGGATTCACCAGAAACAAGAGTGGGGAGCAGAAGAGGCAGATCGACAAAGTACCTGCTGAGGGGAGCAGTGGGTGAGACAGGAGAGGGCTGAAGCGGCCACGGTTTGGCTCCAACCTGCTGCACTACCAGGGAGGGCCAAGTTTTCTTTTTTTATATAGCAGGTGTACTTACTGGCTTTTTCAGATATTACAGAGGATGAAAACTGCACGTGAAAATATGTGGTTGGGCTGTGATCCAGTTTTAAGGCCTTTCTTTAGAAATTGGGTTTTCTCCTTTAAAAAATAAAACTATTTTTCTCTTGAAAGGCAGGATTTATAGAAAGTACTATGAGATGAGACAAAAGACAAAGGACTAAGAGTGAAATATAACTGGGAAGAATTTACTCTGCACTTAGAAGGAAGTTTAAGTATGCTGGGCAGGAATGTTTCAAATACCCATTTAAGAATGTTTCATAAAAAAATGAAAATTCTAAGACTAATTACATATCCTAAATAACCTTCCTCAGTCCTGATTTAGCTTTATAAGTAAACAACAAATTTCCAGAAGACATTCATAGGGTCACAATGCATTTTATTATACAGCATAGATTTATACATTTCATATGTTTTTAAAGCTTCAATTAATTAAATTCAATAAAAAATTTTATATATATATATATATATATATATGCAGCAGTGGTTCTCAGGCACGTAATTTAGGAGGAGAGTGGAGCAAGTTTTTTCCCTAATGTACAGTGAATGTTATTAACTATGAACAGTGGAACATTTCCTTCTGACCTACCTGCTTTTTTGATTCAGTTTTATTATAGTGAACAGCTTTAGTAGGTTTGACATTGCTAACTGGAAATAAGATTTAAAGTAAGTTTATAACCTGTATTTTTTTAAGTCTTTAAGACCTAAATATTACTTTTCTCCTAATAAAGCTCCAAGATTATTTAATGAAAAAACTACAGTCCATAAAAAATCTGGAGCCTCAGCCTAAGAACCACTGCCCATGGTTATTCAATGTCTTCAGGCCTCACAGGATGGGGTAATGGTATAATGGATTTCTTCTCAGTGTCCCTGGAAAGTGCTTTCCTCATATCTGTTAGAAAGCAAAGTTTAATATAATTATCCAAATATCAAACCACCGTATATCAAATTTAAAGTCAATAGGTAAATTTCCCATAGAAGTTTTTGTCCCAGACCCTAACTTTCACCAGATTGTAAGAGAAATCTATTAATAAGTGAAACAATCTCCAGTATACCAGATACCAACAAAAAAAAAATGGATTTTATAAATGGGTTTCAGCTCTTTATATTAATGTTCTTTTGAAAGAATCTTGCTAAAAATAACTTGCCTATAATGTAGTCAGTAATTGGCAGAAATTAACCGCTGCCTAGTTAATACAAATTAACTAGTGGTAGGTTCATAAAGGTAGGTTAAAGATTTAAATATTACAACTCAATTTCTAGAATGCCAAGTCCAGCAAATGTGACTCTCTTTAAATTTATTGAAATAACTGAATACTGCAATCTGTAAAATGTAGGTGTAAATGCCTTGGATTCCTTCTAGGGGCACTACCACAGAAGCAGCTTACCATAAGCATCCTCATCGGGCTCCCCATTGCTGGCAGAGTAGTACTCTATGACGGTCCTGTACACACTGTAGCCCAGCTGCTTATACATGTTCACTGCAACCTGATTGGATACCCTCACAAAAAGATCAACAAAAAATCCACCCTTTCTTTAAAAAAGAAAAAGAAAAAAGAATGTTAGAATGTGAGAAACCCTAGAAAATAAGAGATGTATTTTTAAACAATTGTTTTTACTCTGCTTTGACTACCTTTCACAATGGTAGTAACAGGACCCTTACAGCTGAATATATTTTTGTTACTGAAGATTTATGACAGTAATTTTATAGTACCAAAGATTGTTTGCATGTTAGTATTTCAAAACCTGTAAGGACACGTCTTCTTAGAAAAAAGCATTCTCCAAAAAAAGCATTGCTTCTTTTTACCACAGTTCTGTTACCTGATTTAAAGAAATTACTGTGTATTTTAGGTTATATAATTGGCATGTTTGTTTTACCTACCATTCATACAATACTTGCACCCAGTATAAATCAAAGACTGTGAAGAAAGCGCTAATATGGCCGTGACCCAACTGCAGCAACAGAACACCCTTCTCAGCCCTGAAATCCTCAGGTCCTCTGGTCAGTGACAGCCCCTCCCTTTCCCAGGGATCACCACACACTGACTGTTGTCACTAACTCCTTGATTTCTATTGCAGATTTACCATCCATAATTTAGTTTCTCCTATTTGTGAATTCAACAGAAATGGAATCATACTTTTATCTTCTGTAGTGATTTCCCTGTTGGACTCTCTTTACCAAGAATCTGTTCATCTTCACTTTGTTCAGTAATCACTCTATGGCCATACTACAACATGTTATCCATGGCCCTATAAACATTTCCAGTTTTCACTGTTACAAACAATGCTGCTTATGAATATTTCTGTTGGGTCTTAAGGTACAATATCAAATGTCTCTATACAGGCAAGTCACTGCTGGCTTATACAAGGATGTGCACCTCTTCATGTGTTTTCCAACCTGCTTGTACCACCTTACACCTAACAAGTGGATAAAACACCATTCAATAACACCTACCAGACATTTTGATTTTTGAAAATGTTATGATACAGTTGTAGCTAAGGGTAATTTTAATTGGCACTTTGGATTACTAATGAAGCTGAATATATTTCTGCTTACTATTTAGATTTCTTAACGCATAGAGTACTTACTGGACTTCCACATCTCTCTCGCTTTGTCCCCCAGCTGTAGTTCCCTATATATTCTGCAATGTTTTTGCAAACTTTTCCAATTTTTGACTGGCCAGAATCCTGATTTACCTTTGATGCACCAAGTTAATTAGTTCACCTCAGTGAGGTTAGTAGACAAGTACTTCTTTTAGACCTAGTAGTTTTTATGGTTTAAGAAGTTCTGCCCTCAGGATAAGATAACCTCTAAAATTTTATTCAAAGGATTTTCTAGTTTTGCTTTTTACCTCTAGGGGTAGGTGGGTGGGTGTTTGTGTAAAAAATGAAGCATGGGGTGAATGTGAATAAGAACTGGGGTATAGACCAGAGATTTGGGGGTTGAGAGGATTCACCAGAGACAGAGAACAGGTTGACTGACTGAAAAATATTGCTGAGGGGAGCAGTGGGCAAGACGTAGAGGTCTGCTGCGCCATATGTGGGTGAGCTCCCTGGCTGGAGGCTGAACTCAGGCCTTAGAGGTGATAACACTGAGATTTAATCCCTAGGCCACCAGGGAGGCCCCACATCTAGAATTTTAATAAAAATGAAAAGAAATTTAATGGACCAAATTGATTTATATGTGGTATGGCCCCATATGGATAAGCCACCAACTTCAGAGCAACTGATATGCAATCACCTCTTCTGAAATATGTCAAAAACAGAACTGCTTTCTCCAATTCTGTTCCACTAATCTAGGCAGCTAGTTAAGCATTAACATGAAAGCATTACTCATTATAGCTTGATTTCTGGTGGGACAAAGCTGCCTATTTCATTCTCATTCAAGAATATCTTAACTCTTCATTCCTTTCTAAGTTTCACAATCAATTTAGCAAGTCCACAAAAGTACTTAAGATTTTGACTGCAGTTTCTCTGGCTCCTTGGATCAATCACCAGCTTACTACAGTTTATTTCTCTTCTAACTAATCTTTAATGTCTCTCAGTTTTATAACTTAGAGAAACTTTACACAGCTGTTGTTATGTTTCCTAAGCCCTTAATGTATCTTGATATCATTGCAAACAGCCATCATTTTCCTCAGTTTTACTCTATGCATAGAAAGCAGTTGATTTTATGTTGTTGTACACAGAATAATTTTGCTCAATATTGAGAGTAGTACATTTATGTTTAAATTCTTGGAGTTTTCTGTGTAATCTTATCAGTACAAACAATGGTTTTGTTATTTTTTTTTTTACTGATAGAATGTCTATGTCTTCTCAATTTTCATGTCTTATTTTTCTTGAGTTACTGTATTATCTAGGGTTTCCATTAAACTATCAAAAGAGGGGCTGACGACAGTCATCTTTTATTTTTTCCCAAATTTCAATTCACCGCTGGTATTTACTATGTTTTTGTAGATACATTTTTTTCACATTAAGGAAGTTCTATTCCTAATTTACTAATTTTTTATCAAAATAGATAAATGGTTTTAATCAAAGCATTTTCTGCATTTACTAATATAAAAGTCATCCTGTAAATATATTAATGTCATGTAATATGTTAGCATTTTTTCCTACATTAAAATAACCTTGCCCAGATTTTCCATCCTTTTTATGAATTGCTGAATCCATTTTGCTAAGTTCTTTCTGGGATTTTTATATCTATATTGAGTAAAATTTTCCTTTCTCATACTGTCATGTTTTTTTATCAAGATTACCCCAACCTTAAAAAGTAAGCTAACTGTGAAAAATGATGTAAAAATAAACTTTTTAATAAAAAAAAAATAATAAAAAAAAAAAAGTAAGCTAAGGAACGGTACCTCTTTTTGTTTGTATACAAGTAACTTTATAGTCATTATTTCTTAAATATTTGCAAAAAAACTTGTTAGAGTAGTCACAGTTCGCCTTGTGCAGTTTTTTGGCTACTGACTGAAATTCTTTAAGGGCAGGTATCAGTTTACAACTTGTTTTTGTACTGCCCTCAAGCTTTTACATTGTTGAAGAGTTGCTTATTTAAGTATACCAAATGTCTTTAGGTTAGAATTTACATAATTTTAAATCTTCACATTTTTTTTATAAATGAAATAGTTCTCGGTTTTTCAATTTTATTTAATTATTCCAAGGACACTTAACATGAGATCTTTCCCTTTCAACAAATTTTAAGCATGTAACATATCATTTGCCAACTACAGATACAATGCAGAACAGCAGACTATAGCTTACTCATCTAGTTTAGCTGAAACTTTATGGCTTTGATTAGTAAATGTTCTTTAACTCTTCACCCCTACCCCTAGCCAATCACCATGCCACTAGCTTCTATGAATTAAACTTTTTTAAATATAAAGTGGAATCATTAAGTATCTGTCTTATTTCACTGGCTTATTTCACTTAGCATAATGTCCTAAGGACTCTAACTGGAGTCTTTAGCTCACTATTTACTGTTTATATTACTTGTAATATGGCTTTCCATTTCAGCTTTTCACTGCTTTGCTGGTTTAATTTCCTTTTTCTTCTATTGAATTGATTTTTAGCATCCCATATATTTACCTTTTAGTTAACTGTTTGGAAATCATATAGTTTTATCTTTTTAATGTGTACATTTAAAAATACATATATGTCACCATACATGTATGCTCATTATGGGTATCTATGTATACACTTACATACTCATATAAATGAATAACACTTAAATCTTAGCAACTATCCCAAGGAAGTGAAGGAATAGAAACTGTTGGGGAAAGCAGCTTAGTTGTTTTTGATGCTAAAAAATGCTTATGAAACAGTCAACTCGGCCCTCCCTGGTGGCACAATGGGTTAAAGTGCAGCACTGCAAGCTAGCTGCAGCCACTTTAGTGAGTTCAATCCCTCACCCCGGAGGTGACCCACATGGTGCAGCAGACCTCTCCTGACCCACCTGCTGCTCTCCTCAGCAATATACTTTGTTGATCTGCCTGTTCTGCTCCCCACTGTGTCTCTAGTGAAGCCTCTCACCGCCCCTGCACCTCTGGCCTGTACCCCAGTTCTGTATGCATAAATAAATAAATCTTTAAAAAAGTCAACTCTACAAATACACTAAACCATATATGCAGTCATAGCTATTTTGAACCCCTGCTCACTATATAATAATGTCATATACATATGATACACCATTAACAAATGTGTGTAACTTTGTCAGTCTAGGGAGCATTTTTAAAAATTATAAGGGCTACAATTACCTTCCTTTCCAACTAATAATACTAATAGCCTCTCTTCTTTGAATAAGCTCAGGTTCCTCTTGCCCCCAACTTTACTCAGGCCTTTTTCAAGCCACGACTACTACTTTAAAATTTATCTTTATTAAATTCATCAGCTGAATGGAGAGCCTCAAGAGCTCTTCTTAGCAGCAACATACTCTTCCCTGTATGCTTCTGGAACGTAGAGGAAAAAAAATAGCAGCCTGACAACTGGTTAAACTATATATGTATGTGTGTGTGTGTTATCTTTTCTACAGAAGAAACTGGGAAGGGTCTTTGTATTACTTTGATCCCAGAGAAAGAGGGTCTTGACATATATAACAGGTCTTTTATAGAGCTGTTTTTGACAGTTCCTGTGACATAAGAGGAAAAAAGAAAACTAAAGTACCACATGAAAATCAATGTGAAACAGGAATGAAGGTAGTTGTGTCAAATTTATTTCCATGGTTTGATCAGCCATGGAAATACAATGCTCCCATCAGGTGTGCACATCTCATTAGTAGGTAACCATTTATGAAACAATATATTTTCTTTCAATGTTTTTTCTTCAATTAGCTACTAATTAGACAAAAGACTTAAGTTACAACTGGAACATTTATAAAAGCAGCTAGGACATAACTGCTCAAGACTAAGCTGTTCTCTTTTGGCCTAACAGGACTGTGAAGGTGAGGTAATGTGGGAACATCTGCAATAGTGGCAAGAGCATGAAAATTAACCTTAAGAGCTACTAATCTTTGACTGCACAAATAACCCAGCTTATAACCTAAAGCAGGTCACTCACTTTTCCTTAATTTACATCAGTGACAAACTAGGGACAATCATACCAGTCTGCATACGTGAGGACTGTTAGAAGGTAACAATGATATTTGTGTGAACAGTGAAGCATTGTAAATAATTCGCAGCCTGAAGGAAAAACAACTTATAAATGTTCACCAAGAGAAAAAACAAACAGACAAGTGCATAAATTACTTGAAAAGCAGGATCTTACCTTTCTGAAATCTCCTCTAATAACTCCATAAGTTTAGCAGCCAAACCAAGGCGTCGAAATTCTGGGGCAACGGACAGAGCGGTGACATGCCCGTGCCATTCTTCCCTTGCTACTGAACCTTCTGCTTTACCCATAACTGCCAAAATAGATTGCATTTAGTAATTAGACACATGGATTTGTACAAGTACAGAAGTAGAGTCTGATGTATTTTTATTATAAACTAATAAAATTTACAAAATTAAAACATCTAGCTAGTGGCTATTAGTGCTTTTATAATTTGTGATTTGTGAATATAATGCTAAATCTAGTTGTAAAATTAGAATGAAAAAAATTTGTAAAGGAATGATATACTAAAAACACAACTAATTTCAAACAGATCCAAAATATGTTTTTTAAAAATCTACATATGATGCGGGTATGTGTACACATATAACTGAGATAATCTACAACTCATATTTTTGTTAGTAAAGCTACTGATTCAATGAAGAGGCTACAAAACCACATTATATACCAAATAAAAATTTAGCAAAAATATGGAAACACCCATAGACTGAGGCCATGCCTGTCCAGTTCACAGGCATGGGCCTAGCACAACCCCTAAAGCACAGGACAGATCAGTGAGTTGTCAAATGGCTGAAAAGGAAGTCAAATTATAATCACTGTGAGTCTACTTCAATTCTGCAAACAATCTAAAACAATCAGTTGAGAACTACCTTTAAAATCTAGTACAAGTGATAGTACACTTACTGTAAAACCTAGGACTTACTGGTGGCATTAGCCTTACTGTAAAATCTAGTACTAGCAGTGTTATACTTACTGTAACCCATCAACTCCCCACCAGGTGCCTCTGCAACGATGAAATACTCTGGCCAGTGAGCGAGGTACTGTAAGTAAAAAGGAATCCCATACTAGAACTTGTTAAGGACCATGAAAAATAATGGGCGTTAATAAGTTCTTCATAAAGGGATACCTTGAAGAACGTTTCCTTTTAAAAAATGAAGTATTTTAGCCCCAGTTCTAAATGCACTGTTTCTATAATCCTATTTTGCCATGAAATATTTAGGACAGCACTAATTTTGGACAAAACTGCCTAAGTATATCAACTTAAAGTGTGAATGGAGACAGCACCATGTAATAGAAAGCAAAGAATCTACACTCCCAAGTTCTATGAACTTCGAGCAGCCTCCATCTACTTATCACCTCCTATTCTGCCTCCCCTTAGAATATTGATGCCATACTCACATTTACAATATGTGGCACACAGATGTTCATTACCTTTATTTTTTCATAACTGCACTGGAAAATCAGTCACTAGTTTCTACATTAGCTTGAACTCTGAAACTTGGTAAATAACTTTAAATTTTAAGTACTTCCATAGCAACATAACCATTATCCAGTTTTTCTTCTCCATTCAAATTCCTTTTTCTAGCAATGCAAATAAAAGCTGACCGATGGGCCCTTCCTGGTGGCGCAGCGGGGTAAAGCACTGCACTAAGAAGTTAAAGCCACTTCCGCATGAGTTCCATTCCCTCCTGCCCCAGAGGTGACCACATGGCGCGGCAGACCTCTCCTGACCAGCCCGCTGCTCCCCTCAGCAGTGTACTTCGTCGATCTGCCTGTTCTGCTCCCCACTCTGTCTCTGGTGAAGCCTCTCGCTGCCCCTGAGCCTCTGGTCTGTACCCCAGTTCTGTATGCACAAATAAATAAATCTTAAAAAAAAAAAAAGCTGACTGAACAGTAAATGCCTGGATAATTTGCTCAAGACTAACTCTATCCTTGGTGCCCTTACTGACATGTACATTTGCTATATTCCTTCTTAGTGTAAACTTGGTGATGAAATCCTAAGACACCATCAAATCATACATTTTTAAAAAAGAGAAAAAAAACGGGAAAAACCTATACTATAATTAGTAAATTCTTCACACTGTCCTGTGAAGGATAGCCATTATTTTTAGTACTTCAGATACAATCTTTACATGGCAAGTAAGAGAGTCTTCCTATTTTCAAGTTACTGAAACACATCAAACAATCTCTCCCGGAGCCAACAGAGGAGCCCCTAAATGCTCATTTACTACTAAAACCTGGCAAGTAATTTCACTTACGACTAAAACCTGGCAAGTAACTTTCAGGTATGGTCTCAACCCCAATCTGGAACTTCCGCTGTATACTGCAAACTATACAAGCTGAGTTGCAATTTAGTATTTTCTTCTTACCAACAGTAAAATGTTTTCTGTCACTTGAAATTCTTCAACATTCTCACTGCTTTTTTTTTTAATATGGAGAACTCTTTAATCAGCCATAATTTCTTTTTTTTTTTAAAGATTTATTTATTTATTCACACAGAACTGGGGTACAGGCCAGAGATGCGGAGGGTGAGAGGATTCACCAGAGACAGAGCGGGAAGCAGAACAGGCAGATCGACGAAGTACACTGCTGAGGGGAGCAGTGGGGGGTCAGGAGAAGTTTGCCACGCCACGTGGTCACCTCTGGGGCAGGCAGGGATCGAACTCATGCGGAAGTGGCTTTAGTTTCTCAGTGCAGTGCTTTAACCCGCTGCACCACCAGGGAGGGCCTCAGCCATAATTTCAAAAGACAAATGTAAACTGAAAATTTTTTTGTTCTTTCCCACTCAACTCCATTTCTGTTATGTAGCCCTGCTGTCAACTGTACTAACTACACTGCTAAGTAGTACTCTACTCTAAGAATAAACATTTTAAATACCCTCTGTCTCCTGACAATAGGCATTTGGGTTCTTTCCAGTTTCTCAAGAACATTTTTAAATCCATCATGGATCTAGCATAATTGACCCATCTCTCTATCGTTGTGTTATTCTAAATTTTTAACATTCTAATTCTGTAATTAAACATTTTCTGTAAAGCCAGATAGTAAATACTCTAGGTCTTATGGACCACATGCTTCTGTTGCTATTGTTAAAGATATCAATGTAAGTTACAGACAATATCTTAATTTTTATCATGGTTGTGATCTAATTAAACTTTAATAATAAAACAGGTAGTGAGCTCAATCTAGTCCACACACTGATGTAATTGCCTCTAATTTTTAAGCTTTCAGTTTTCAGGAAATACAATTACTAAGTATTGCATTGTGAAAGTGCCTTCCAAAAAACCTACAGGAATTTACACTGTCACTAGCAGTTTATGATAATGCTCCATTCAGCTAGCCCTCATCAGTGCTGAATTTTATCATGATCTTTAATCCTTGATAATGTGACAGGTAAAACATGGCACACCTCATTTTGAACTTGCATGTCTTTGATTCTTGAGCTTGAACTCATTAACCTCCTGTATGCCTCTTGTTAACTTATCAGTTAGTTAAATACTACCCTCTATCAACTGTAATGGACATGGAACAAAGCCCAGAAATCTGATTTTGTTTTTAACCACTGCGAATTGCAACATAATCTACAGTACCCTAACCTGACACATCTTTGCCCAGTTTTCTTTTTGGGAGCATGATAGTCATTGCTAATTGTTACCCAAAATCTTTTCCTCCATTTAGTTAACAAGTCCCAATTTACAACAAGGCATATTCCCAGAATATGCTAGGTTAAGTGTAGTAACGGCAAGTGCTGATCAATAAGCTATATAGGCGCTGCATGGTGTTTACCAAAGAAGGACTCTCTCACGTTCTCCTATGTTGATCTTCATCTCCAGACCTCACTCACACTTGACGGAAAGAACCCATCTTGTGAAGTCACTGCTTTGATGTACATAGACGTACTGACAACTGAGGGCAAAAGTGGGGCTCAACTCTTTACAGATTTATAGGAGGCCATTATATTAGCTTATGAAGCTGATTTAAGATAACTCTTGTCCCCAGCTGGTTTTCTTTGACTGCTCTCAATGCTGTATAAAATGTTTCCAGATCTACACATTTTAAAGTTTTTTAGTACTCATCTATTTTATCCTTTTGCTTTTCCATTTTCCTGACTCTGAGTAAGACTTCATTTAACTTTTTTTGAAAAGGATACAGTTTCTGTAAGTGGATCCAAATTACTGAAAGAAATAAGAAATGTTAATAGTAAGCAGTGTTATAAAAACAATTTAAGTAAACCCACTTAAACTGAAAGTACACAAGGCAAATAAACATGCTACACACACAACTTTAAATCCTCCTATGGGGCTAAGGAACATGGTTTAAACTACCTACAGAATAACAAGCAATCATATTGATTATGAAGTATGCATACCTTTTCATTCAACCACTTCTTCTCCTTAGTCCAGCAGTTCTCACCATCTTTGGTTTCAAACCCCTGACCACCAAAAATTACCAAGGACCCAAAAACTTCTGTTTATGTTCCTGTATATTACAAGATGATCACTTTTGTAGTCCAGTTAACATTATATGTAAGTGCAAATATTTTCATTTGATGGGTCATAAAGAAGGCTCCATTTTTTGCTGTTTGAGAAATCCAAACAGCTTTCCATAGTGGTTGGACCAATTTGCCTTCCCATCAGCAGTGTAGGAGATATGACTAAGTTTTTAACCCCCAAAACTTGTCAAAAACAAAAATTCTGTAACAAGGATGACACTGTTTTAACAATTCTTACTAATAAAGACCTTTTTAACGTCTGGCTTATTAAAGTCATCTGGATTCTGTGTCTGCTATACTTAGTATTACAAGGGCACACATCTGGAAAATTCCCTTGTGTACTTGTGAGAGAGAGTAGGAAAAAAAGACCAACTTAATATTAGCATGTGAGAAAATAGTTCTGACCTTGCAAAAACCCCAAAACAATTCTGAGGAGCCCCAGTCCACATCTGGAGTATCACTGCCCCAATATGTTTTAGGGATTCCTTCTTACACACATTCAAAAGTAGTTTATAACTTTTCCTCTCACCTCAACTCTCCAACAGGGGTCACCCCTTCTCAATTTCTGTCACTTCCCAAATATTTACAAAGAAAATATAGAAGAAAAAGCTTCCCTGAGGTCCATGAATGAACCCACTCTCCCCTACAAGGGTCTGCTCCCACGCTCTATTTTCTCTCCTAGCCATGCATGGAGTTCTGCTAAGTAGATTCCAGCCCCTCTCACTACTCACAAACTTGCTCTTACAATTCTCTCTCCTGGAAAAAGTGTATGAATATGCTGAACTCTGAGCCACTGGCAGTCCCTGAGGCAGTTTCCACCTACCTAAATGTGGTAGGTAGGTCTCCAGCTAAAACGTGCTCCTTGCCCAGCTTCAACTGTCCAAGACCTAGTTTCTGGCTCTCAGACATTATCTCCTCACACTCCAATACTCTGTTCCAGCACACTGGCCCTCTCCTATATGCAACAGGTATTTGTGCACTTTTTATTCTCTCTGCCTGGAAATCCTCCTGCCCCCAATATCCGTGACTTACCTCTCAACTTCCCTAGTCTTTCTTAAGGGAATACTCTGAATACCCAAAGCTAAACCCCACTCATTTCATATTTCCCTTGTCTGCTTTCATTTTCACCTTTGTACAGAACACTGAGTCACTTTGATGGTTTTCTTAGTTTGTTTTCCCCTCTAAAATATGTATTTTATGAAGATATCAACTGATTTTTTTGTTCACTGCTGTATATCCAGCATTGATATACAGTAGGAACACACTTATTTTTCCAATAGATGATTCTTTAACTGCAAGGTTCCCACATCCATTGTATCATGCTAATTCAGTGATTCTCATGAATCCTCTACTGACATGCCCTAATCAAAGACAGAAAAAGAAGAAAATGGGACAAGCAGTTCTTTTACTGGCATATCATTCTGATGAGGCCTCAACAAGCCAAATGCTATGCTAACTGGGAGAGGCCAAAGAAAAAATTCCTTCCAAAGGATCAAGACAACCCTACAGCAACAGAGTGAAAATACAGTGTCACCATTTTCTCTGATCACTCAGTAATAGAAGCCAGTCGTCACTATTACCTCCTGGTTATATAGCCACACCTCAAATTTTCTCACTTTCACCCATACTTCTTTCTCTGAAATTTACTTCCTCTTCACCATTGTTCAAAGCTTTCTGAACAATGTGTTTAACCTCATCTCAAGTTCTTTCCACCCTCTTTTAACACCTGAAAGTGAACCATGAGGTTGGGAGATTGAAGATGGTAAGATGAAGTCCATATGTAAAACAGGGTGGTCCCCAGGAAAAGGGCAAGTTCCAGGTTCCCTGCCCCACCCAGAAGGAAGGTGGAGCTGAGCAGAGAAGAGAAGGAATCAGAAGAAAGCAGGTGGAGAGGCAGAGGGAGACCTGAGGAAGCCACCTGGAGCAGAGAGAGACATGTGAAGAAACCGTGCTTGTTTCTTGACCCTGGACTGGTTGAAACAGATGTGGATGAGAGATCGGTAGGAAGGAGGTTGACTATGGCAGCATTTATATTGATTTTGATTTTGCTCTTTTCCTCCCAGACTTGCCTGGCCATTTCTGACCCTTATTCATGAGTCCCTGCTGGAAGGTGCTTTAGACTTCAGGCCTTGGTTTGGGCCAGTCCCTTTTGGGTGGACTCTTACCCATGAGGGTTTGGATAACTTTGGGTGTTTGATTTAGAAACTATATTCTTTGTCTTTTCTGTATTGCACATTGATTGTATTAAAGTTCCTTTCCATTAAAATTTTTTTTTTGTCTTGTCTTGATGCAGAGGATGGCAGAACCTATTTAGAGCAGGCAGGTTTGGGGGTTCAGTGGTGCCCTCTCTCCCTGCCCTGTATGTAACAAATGCAGGTGGACAGACAGACTGACAGATAATGTGGTGAAGTCAATGAGGAGAAATGTTAACTGGACAGTCCAGGTGCTGCAGCTATAGATGTTCACCGTAAAACTGTTAACTTTTCTAAACATTCAGAAATGCCAAAGTTTTCTTAAAAGGGAAACAATAACATGCCCACATGTCACAGGTCCTGACTTAACTCAGATTTAACACAAATTGTTCACAATGGGCCTTCACCATCATCTGCTCTGTACTGACTCCTCAAAGTTGGAAAAAAAGTTGTGAGCTGGAAACGCGGGTACTGTGATAAAACCCACTGAAACAAGCCCAACCAAGAAAGGAGGCACTGTAGTGGGACGCCAAGACCGCAGCGTTAGTTCACGCAAACACAAATCAACCCTTTACACCAAGTGGTTGCGCAACTTGGAGCTTCCCAGCCAACACTTAACTGCTGACCGGGTGACGACCTGAACGGCTGGCACTTTTGGGGTGTCCACTACACAGACAAGGAAGTCAAATCACTTGCCTGGATCGGCCCACAAGCAGTGAGGGCGGGCGAAGTGTTCGGGGCCGGCTCCCCCCCTTCTACCACCCCAAAATATCCAGATACCCCGCGAAAGCGGGGACTCTGCCCCCACACCGACGCGCGCGCGCGGTGCTGAGCGCCTCCGCCACGGTCAGCAGGGCCGTCCGCTCGTATCCCGGACCCCGGCCTCGGACCCCGCGTTCCCACCCAGGGATGCGCCGGTGGCGGCCAGGCGGGAGTGGCTGAGCTCCACGGGCACGAGTCCACTCACATGTTGTTGAAGCGGAACAGGTCGTCACATGTGAAGGCCCGGAGCGTGGTCATCTCGCCGCAGCCTTGCGAGCCGGCCCGTTTGGATCCCGAGCCCGTCTTGCCGGAAGTTATCTTACGCACGAACGCTGCGAGGCAGTGCGGAGGAGTGTTTCCGGGTCACAAGTTGCTCGGCAACCAAAGCAGTGACAGCGCCCCTTGGCGGCCTGCCTGGGGAATTGCCAGACCACTCCTGTAAGATCAGGGTCCTAAGTCACTAAACCTGGAGAGTGAAGGCGCAGGTACGAAGTGTGATCACTTAAGGAAGGAGACATAAAGACGCCTAGGGTTAAGACACAGAAGCAGAAAAATGGCATTCAGTACTGGGATGCCAGGTGCTAAATGAGGAAGTGAAGCAGAGTCCACTGTCCCAATAATGGGGCTATGTTTGTGAGCCCAAATATCCAAACACTTAACTTGAATACTCAAATATTCATATTTATATGAATATGTAGTATAAATGTGTAAGCTGAACAATGAGGAGCAACCCCTGAGCCAGTGGGTTGCGATCATAACTAACTAGGTGGTGGAAGGATGAGCTTTTCAAACTCCAATCCTTGATGTTAACTCCATAGTAGAAGGTGGGGCTTTTCAAGCTTTTCACCCACCCCACAACAGGAACCTATGGAGAAAAGGAGTGGCGCAGAAGCTTTAGGTAGTTAAATTGCTGGGCTTTCGGTAGATAAGAGATTTGAGGCAGTTAAATGCTGGGATGTTGGCAGTCAAGCTGCTGGTTTATGGCAGTTAACCTGCTGGTGAGGAGGTGTCTGTGGAGAAGCAGCCAGCTTGCCACCTGTAGCTTCTGTTTGTGCTTGGGTCTGTGCAAAGGGATGCTATGGGGGGGTGGGCGGGAGGGAGGAGGGCAGCTGGCTTCTCTGTGCTGTTTTCTCCCTCCCCTACCCCCCTTTTTTCTCCCTTTCCCTGTAAATAAATCCTGTTATATTTATTTCACACTGTGCCTACTTTTGAGTCATGTCTTGCAGTCATAAGCATGTGACAGACGAAGCAACAATTGGATCATTGCCCCTGGTTTGCTCGGTTTCAAATGCATGAAAATGAATTAAATTAGTTGTAATAATTATTTCATCCAGAATATCCAAAATACTGTCATTTCAACATATAATCAATAGTAAAACTATCAATGGAGTATTTTACATACTTTATTTTTGTACTGTTTTTGAAATCTGGTTTATATCGCATATTTGCAGCATATTTCAATCCTGGAGAAAAGATGTCATCAGAATAGTTTTTCTTCATGTGGATCTCAAACGATGTATAGTTAAAAAGTAGATTCACAGAACTGAGAGGTTCCAATCATCCTAAGTTTTCAAATAACTGAATTGACAATCATTGTTTTAGATTTAATTTAGTTGAAATTAAATAAAAATGAAAATGCCATTCATTGGTTGCATTAGCCTTATTTTCAATACTCAGCAGTATTGAAAATGGGTAGTGATTACCACTATATTGTATAGCACAGGTCCAAAGCCTATGAAACCAACATGTCCTACCTGAAATGTATCACAAATAGATCCTACCTGCTTTGGGGGGCTCTTTTCCCCTACCTTCTTGCTAAGCAGTAACTAAGGAGAACTTGAGAGAAACATGCCAAATAATGTCAAAATTACAAGGCCTCACATTTCTAACTGCCCTAGGGTCCAAAAACCCCTGCCCACATCAGTGGCTCAGGCATGGAAGGAGGATAAAAGAAAGATGGTTGAGGAAGCAGGTTGACCCATAAGAAGAAACTTGCGTGGTCCAAGTTGAGCTCCAGGCATTGTTCCCTAAAGCCAACTATATAGATATGTGTGAACTCACTGTAGTAGAACTTGGGGCATACAAACTCATGTCCATAGGGATGACAAATCATCAGGAGGGCAGAATGTGACATATTAGCTCAGCTACTGCCAGGTGTTGAAACAGAGAGATTTTGAGGATCTTTTATATCAGCAAAACCTAATATGCCACATGAAATTAATGTTAAGGTATAATTTGTAGAAAAGGTAGCTATGATTCTTATACAAGCATAAGACGAGAATTTATTAAAGAGTTTTTAACTAAATAAAGAGAAAATAAATATTACGAAAACTTAATCAAAAGAGAATTTAAAAAGCACAAGTAATCAGAATGCTAAATGTATTTACAAGTAGGTTTAAAGTTGATCAATATCCACAGAGCAATAATCTGTTGCATCTCCTGGCCACACAAGATATATCTCTGTGTGTGTGTGTGTATGAGAATATGTGTGTATAAAATATGTAAATTATTTGTGTATATTCATATATACATACGCATATATACATATTCAAGAATTAGCTTCATTACTATCAATTTTCTGTGGCTTATAGATTTGTAAAATAAGTCAAAGACAATAAAAAGCAGTTAACCTTGATAAGTTAACTTTTATTTGCATCATAAACTGAAATTTGTGGCTACTTTGTACTAGGACATATTTAATTAGTGATGTTACCCCTGCAAGGACTGGATGTCATAGATCACAAGTTTGCAACTTCTGTTCACATTTCTAAATGGTGATTTTGGGAGGCCTCCCTAGTGGCCTAGGGTTATCACAACTATGGCCTAAATTTAATCCCTACCAGGGATGGTGCTGCAGACCTCCTGTGGCCTGCCCACTGCTCCTCTCAGCAGTGTTTTTAGTAGGTCCACCTGTTCTACTGCACACTCTGTCTCAGTCTCTGTCTCTCACTCTTTGCTCCTCTGGCCTACCCCCCAGTCTTCTATGCAATAAATCAATGAATAAAAGAATAAATGAATGAATAAGTAAATAAATAAATAGAAATGATGATTTAGAATCATTCAAGTTACAGGAGCTAGATGACCAAAGGCAATACATTCAAGGTCATGGGGAACACGAAGAAAATTACAGAAAGAATTTTAGAAATACAAGCTGAGTGTCCTTTCTCTCTGTCTACTTATTTTAAAAGTTACCAGTTTCCACTGATCAGATGAATTATCTTTTAAAAGATGCCTCGCAGTTGTTCAGTAAATGTCTGTTGACTTACATGGGAAATGATGTCATTCTTAGTGTAAAATTAGGGTAATAATGATATTAACTAAGTTATTTCATGGGGTCCATAAGAGGTGCATAATCATACCAACTTCACTGGGTTGTCGTGAGGATGAAATTGAACCATATGGCAAGCGAATAGCTTCTAGTGTCAATATAGACAAGGAGGGCCCTTCCTGCTGATGCCAAGAGCTAAGGCACAGCACTATGAAGCTATTTGCTAGTTCAATTCCCGATCAGGAAGGTGACCACATGGCGTGGCAGACCTCTCCTGACCTGCCCGCTGCTCCCCTCAGCAGTGTATTTCAGTCTGTCTGCCTGTTTTGCTCCCCACTCTGTCTCTGGGAAGTCCTCTCACCACCCCCAAACCTCTGGCCTGTAACCAGTTCTTGTATGCATTAAATAAATAAATATTTTGGAAAAATAGAATAGGAATAAACCAATAAATACATAAGAATAAGAAAACTCCAGAGAGACGGGCAAAAAAATTCCAAAAGTGATTAAGCAAACACCCCCTGAGTAAGGATAGCAGGATATTGACAAAGGTAATAAAAAAAGGATTCTCCGAAAAGGGCTATGTAGCAAGGAGATTCCTGGTAATAGCAGACTGAGTGAGGCAACCAAGAGCTAACCAATCCCTGAGACTGGTGGAGCTCTAGAATAATTAGGAAGAAAAGTATATATTCCCAAGGCATACTCCACTTCAGCTTCCTTGACCCACCCCGCCTGGTTCCATGAGACTGTGAGTCCTACTTTTTCCTACTCTTTTTCCCATTCATAAACTTTTCCTTATCTCTACTTTTCTAAACAAATTTGCCTCTTTTCGTCTGCTTGCGTGAGAGTCAGTGAGGTTCCTGCTGTGGCTTCATCAGACTCCAACCCATGGAGGTCTCGTAGTCAGAACCTAGCATTACCACTGCAGCCTAGAATCGATTCCTGGCTGAGAAACTAGACCTGAAAATAGGGTACAAAATGAGCAATATTTGTGAAATCATTTGTAACAGTGCTTGGCATGGAAGTGTTTGTTAAGGAAAATAAATTAGATATTTTGCCTCTTGAAGAATTTCAATTTTGAAGTGAAGGGAGAAGAGGCAAAACCCTTGCCCCTTTGCACAGTCTGGGCAAAAGTGGTGGCACATGGCTCATGTCTCCAATATCAGCTCATTTTTAAGCAGGACCATACAGTACTGCCCTGCAAGGACAGTGCCCATTTGTGGACAGGTCACTGTCTGTGAGTTCTTACCCATGTACACAACTGCAGGACCACTCAGTTTCAGAGAACAATAATAAGCTGGTTTAATGAATAAACAGGGGAAATAGAGTCATGAAGGCCACTGTGGTCTGCTATCTCACCCTAGAGTCCAGAGTGTTCTGAAGTCCCAAGCAAAAGACCACTTATCCAAGATGGCGCTGTCCTGTCAAGGTGGGCCTGGAGACAAGGCAGCCAGAGACGCCCATAGGCAGGGCGGCTAAGATGATGCAGCATCACCTACAGCACCAGTCTGAAGATCCAGATGAATAGCACCAGACACTGGGACAGACATGAACACAGGCAGCAGCACCAAGGAAAGGTGCCCCACAACCTGGCAAACTGCTCTCTGAAATTCTCTGCCCAGCCCTCAGGAGGCAGGCCCAGCCTCCCAATTCCGGCAAAACTCCAGCTTCTCTCTTCAGAGCTCAGCACCAAGACTTCTTTCTTCCTTCTTCTCAAGCTAGGTACGAAGTACCATGATTCTAGGCTGGGGATCAGAGTCTAAGGGAATCTGGGGACCTATGATTCCTTACATTACTTTCCCCCACACACACTCCCCCTTCATACCCAACCAGATCATTCAATCTGGCCTATTAACCTCCCCGGAGCCCCAGGGTAGAAGTCCTCATACAGCAGCCTTTAACACAAACAACACCACATTTTCCCAAGCACCCTGCCCCTACCACTCCCAGGCAGGTGGCAGTAGAACACCTGTCTTACTCTGTACTTTGTACTATAGGGCCCCAGTAATAGTTTGAGATAAAGAAGTCCTTGGAAGCCACTTCCCTTTT